TCTTCCAGGTTTCCTGATTTGTTGGTATACAGCTCTTTGTAATAATTTCCAGTGATTCTTTTCATTTTTGTGGTACCTGTTGTTACATTTCCTTTTTCAACTCTAATTTTATTAATTTGGGTCTTCTTATTTTGGTTAATTGGGCCAATGGTGTGTCAATTTTGTTTATTTTATCAAAAAACCAACTTTTCATTTAGCTGACTTTTTGTATTTTTTTGTTTAATTTTTTTATGTTTTCTCTGTTTATTTATTTCTTTTCTCCTACTAGTTTTGTGTTTGGTTTGCTATTTTTCTAGGTCCTTGATGCATTGATAGCTTATTTACATGGGGGTTTTCCAATTTCTTGATGTAGGCACCATTGCTATAAACTTTCCTCTTAACACTTCTTTTGCTGTATCTCATAAGTTTTGATATGTTGTATTGTCCTCTTCATTTGTTTCCAGAAATTTTTTGATTTCTCTTTTGATTTTTTCAATGACCCACTGTTCTTTCAGGAGCATGTTGTTCAGGCTCCGTGTGTTTGCATATGTTCCAGAGATTGAGTTGTGATTTCCAGCTTCATTCCATTGTGGTCAGAGAAGATACATGGTATGATTTTTATTTTTTTTTTAGTTTGCTGAGACTTGCTTTATGGCCTAGCATGTGGTCTATCCTAGAAAATGTTCCATGCACTGGTAAGAAGAATGTGTATTCTGCATCTGTAGCATGAAAAGTTCTGTAGAGATCCATTAGGTCCATTTGGTCTGTAGTGTCGGTTAACTCTGTTGTTTCCCTGCTAATTTTCTGTCTGGTTGATCTGTCCATTGCTGAAAGTGGAGTATTGAAGTTCCCCATTACTATTGTATGGGAGACTGTCTCCCTTTAGATCCATTAATGTTTTAAATAGCCAGGTTGCCCTGTAATTGGGTGCATATACGTTTATAATAGCCACATCTTCCTGTTGAATTGATCCCTTAATCATTACATAGTGCCCCTCTTTGTCTCTTTTAACAGTTTTTGCGTTAAAGTGTTTTGTCTGACATTAGGATGGCTGTATTAGTTCTTTTTTGGTTTCTGTTAGCATTGCATATCTTTTTCAAATCTTTCACTTTCATTCTATGTGTTTGTTGATGAGATGTGTTTTTGTAGGCAGCAAATAGATGAGCTTTGTTTTTTAATCATTCAGGCAGTCTGTACCTGTTTTTTTTTTAAAGATTTATTTTTTTATTTATTTGAAAGAGTTACAGAGAGAGGTAGAAACAGAGAGAGAGGTCTTCCATCCGCTGGTTCACTCTCCAGATGGCCGCAATGGCTGGAGCTGTGCCGGTCCGAAGCCAGGAGCTAGGAGCTTCTTCTGGGTCTCCCACATGGGTGCAGGAGCCCAAGGACTTGGGCCATCTTCTACTGCATTCCCAGGCCATAGCAGAGAGCCGGATTGGAAGAGGAGCAGCCAGGACTAGAACCGGCACCCATATGGGATGCTGGCACTTCAAGCCAGGGCTTTAACCCACAGCGCTGGCCCCATCAGTCTATACCTTTTAACTGGAGAGTTGAGGCCATTTACGTTCAAAGTGATTATTGACAAGTCATGACTTGAACCTGCTATTTTTCCATAAATATTCCTATAGTTTGCTTTGGATTTCCTTTGTACTTTGGGAGATTTTCTGTCTTTACTTTCTTTCATAGTGATGACCATGTTTCTCTGTGTAGCACAGCCTTAATTATCTTTTGTAAGGTGGTGACAGATTCTTTCAATTTCTGTTTGGCATGGAAGGTCTTTATTTCACTTTCATTCATAAATGAGAGCTTTTTAGGATACAGTATTCTTGGTTGACAGTTTTTTTTCTCAAGATTTGGAATATTTCTTGCCATTCTCTCCCAGCCTGTGGGGTTTCCGATAAGTCAGCTGAGAGTCTAATTGGAGATCCTCTGAAAGTAATATGGTGTTTCTCTTGTGTACATTTTAGAATCTTTTCTTTGTTTTACTGTGGAGAGTTTGACTGAAATGTGTCATGGTAAAGATCTTTTCTGATCATGTCTGTTATGTGCTTCCTGTACTTGGACATTCCTTTCTTTCTTCAAATTAGGGAAGTTTTCTGTAATTATTTTACTTCTGATTCATTCTGTCTTTCCTTGCTTTCCGAAACTCCTTTAAGACCTGTATGTTGGTCTTTTGATGGTATCCCATAGATCTCCAACAGTGTTTTTTAGTTTTCTTCATTCTTTCTTTTTTTGTCTGAATGTAAAATTTCCAGAGATTTGTCTTCTAACTTGCTTATTCTTTTTTCTGCCTCAACGAGTTTACTGTTAAGGCTTTCCACTATATTTTATTTGTTCTATTGAATTCTTCATTCACAATATTTCATTCTGATTTCTCTTTAAAATCTCAACTGCATGGGAAAATTTATGTCAGGTTGGATTTCTTTAATTCATAAATTTCTATCTGATTACTTCTATGTAATCCTACAATCAATTTTTGTATTCTGTTTCTGGCACTTCATCAATCTCTTCTTCACATTCTAGTATTGAAGTGTTGTGTTCTTTTGGGTTGTCATGTTGTCTTATTCTCTTTTTTTTTTAACTTTTATTTAATATAAATTTTCAAAGTACAGCTTATGGATTACAGGGCTTTCCCCCCACCCCATAACTTCCCTTCCACCCGCAACCCTCCTATCTCCCACTCCCTCTCCCATTCCATTCACATCAAGATTCATTTTCAATTATCTTTATATACAGAAGATCAATTTAGTATATATTAAGTAAAGATTTCAACAGTTTGTTGAAGTCTTCCTTATTCTTGTTACTTGAATTGCTGTGTTTACTATTGGGCATTTGTGGAGATACTTCTTGGCTTTTTCTCCCACCGGTGATGGCTTTTATCTTTGGACTATGCTTCTGTAGCTTAGTGGAGTAGCTGCTCTTTCAGTGAATACCCAGAGGCATGTGCTGGGTGTGGTCAGGGAGCTCTGTTCAGTGTCCAGGGTGAAGAGTGTCCAAAGTGACACCCAAGTTGTATGTGGTAAAATTTTTTTTTTTAATCAGCGGGGTGGTTTGTTCTGCTTCTTGGCATATCCTCATGCTCACCTCCTTTCCTCAAAAGACCAATGCTTGGGCACTAGCCCCAGTGGGTACAATTCTCATCTGTGCTGCCACAAGAATAACACAAAGGATCGGTGCAGTCCTTGGTATGATTGGGGATCCTGCAGCAATGACCCTCACCAGGGAATCAGGGACCTCGATCATGTGGAGCCGTGCACAGTGGTTTTGCAAAGACTCAGCCACACCCTGTGCCTTCCCACACAGCCATAGTGTTTTCAGTCCCAGCACACAAGGCTTCCGCACTCACAAGCACCCAGCTACCATCAGTTCTCCCAGCCAGACTTAAGTGTCTCCTCTCGGCTGTTTGCTGGGCGCACAGACATGAGCTGGTGCAGCTGTTATGTATGTCAAAAATGGCGCCTGTCCTCTCTTGGCTAGTTATGGGGTGCCAGTGCTAGGTGATTGGGGAGAGAGAAATGTGCCCCCTCTTTTTTTCCCCTCTAGGTTAGCAGGTACACTGTTCCCAACAGGGCTCTGAGCCTGGCCCATGTCAGTCTCTTCCCACAGCTTTATCGCCAGTGGCTTAGGCTGCTGCAGTCTGGTCTCACCTCACTCTAAAGCTTGTGCTGAGGCTCTTGCCCGCTGGGGTCCTAAGCTGTGCACATCCACACCCTTCATGTAGGTCCACAGTGTCCCACTGATTTGTGTGGAGTTTACTCTGCTGTTTTCCCCCTAACTTTTCCCTGAGACTGTGCTCTCTCCACTTTTTTTACTATCTTCCACTAGACCAGAGTAAGCGTCCTCCCTATGCCGCCATCTTGAAAAACTCCTCCTCCCCCAACCCCAGGCTAACTTTTCATACTGTCTGTCCAGACCAGCTGCTTGTTTCCCAGCCCCAACTTGTGGAAGGTTATCTTTCCTGTTTCCAAAGAGTTGGGGCCATTTGGAAAACTTGTCCAAGCAAATCCGAGGGAGCAGGCTCCATCTTACCAGCTGTAAATCCACATCCTTGTTCTTGAGAGTTTGAGTACTTTTCCTTGGCAATTCTCCATCCCTCAGTGTGCTGTCCCTAACATTAGCTATTACCATCACAGGACCCGTAAAGCCCTTTAGGGACCTTGAAATGTTAGATTCTTCTGTCATACAAGGGGACTTCAGAAAGTTTGGGGAAAATGGAATCAAAAGATGCTTATTTTGTTGCAAAATAATTTTGAAATCCACGCATATGAGGGGTCATAAAAACTTCATGGAAATGCATACTATGAAAAACTGCATTGTGAAGTAACTTTTTTACACAAAAATAAACTTAATTCCATTTTTCAATGACCCTCTTAAGGCAATACCACTATTGGGTATGTGTATAATCTCCAGAGGAAATGAAATCAGTACAGCAAAGAGAGATCTGTATCTGCAGTGTTCATGTCAGCATTATTCAAAATAGCCAAAACATGGATGCAACCCAACTGTCCATTAAAGAATGACTGGATAAAAATGTGGCACATATACACAATGGAATATTATTTGGCCATGAGAAAAGGAATCCTGTCATTTATAAAAATATGGGCAAACTTGGGGGACATGATACTGGTTGAAATGAGCCAGGCACAGAAAAACAAACACTGTCTAATGATGCATATGGAATCCAAATTTGATCTCAGAAGTAGAGAGTAGAATAGTGGTTACCAGGGGCTGCAGAAGTTAGAGGGTAGGTGGGTTAGGGACCTGTTGGTCAAAGAAAACAAGATGATAGTGAGATAGTAGAAATAATGTCTAGAGATCACTTGGTCAGCATGGTGACTATAGCCAACGATGACATTGTATTCCTGAGGAACACTAGGAGAGTGGGTGTTACAAATGATAGCTGTGGTAATATGTATTTTGTGACATAGCTAAATCTAACCATTTCACAATGCAGATGTACTTCAAAGCATGTACATTTGTATCATGAAAAAGATGGAACTCAAATATGTAAAAGATTACACTTTCTAAAAATTTTACTAAAGCATTTATTTTTAAACAAAAATATACATTCAATCTGATTTACAGGAATAGAAATAATTTATCCAAAGCAATTTTCATTTTAAAATTAATATTGCACCCAACAGTATATGTCTTTGACACATTTGCATTGTCAACCTTTCCCACAATTTGCAATACGGGAGAGAACTATGAAAGTAACAGAATTATAGAAGCTAACGTTCCTGGATTTTTAAAGAATTGTACAATTCTGCTTATTTACAAGATAAAATTGTAAACTTTCAGAAATTTACTTCCATAAAAAAGCATACATTCTTTTATCATACTTAGAAAATGCATTATAAAATTCTAATTAAATTTCCCTGTCCTGTGGATATAAAAAATGAGCTATCTACATGTGGTGATTTCCTCAGAGGGATTCCAAGGGGTGACGTTGTGAACATTCACAGCCTCGTGGTGGAGGGCAGATCTGCTGAAAGCACAAGAATATGGAAAAAGCCCTGGAAAGCTGGGTCACCCTTGTGAGGATATTTTCACAACTGCCTACACATTCAATCTAATGAATGTGGCTCTCAAAGTCTTCTCCCTCAAGACATAGACAAGGAGAACAGCATTAGGATTCTGATCCAGCCTCATAAAATACTTTACATGTGAGCAAGCTCAAAAGAAAGCTTTGTGAAGCCTTCTGCAATGTATTGCTGCTATCTTGTTAGTGATTTTGTTCAACTTCCTTACTCCCAGGGAGCACTAGGCAGGACTTGGAGATCACCTGGATGTAGATGCACAGGGATCTTCCAGAAAAGGTCACTGAAATGTATATTAGGATAAACTTAGAGATTGCATTTTTTTGCATCCAAATAAACTGATTTTTTTAAAAAGATGTATTTATTTGAAAGGCAGAGTGACAGATCTTCCATCCATTGGTTCACTCCCCAAATAGCTGGGCCAGGCCAAAGCCCAGAGCCAGAAGCTTCTTCTGGGTCTTCCAATTGTCTGCAGGGACCCAAACACTTGGGCCATCTTCTGTGGACTTCCCAGGTGCATTAGTAGGGAACTGGATCGGAAGTGGAGGTGCTGAGACTTGAACTGTCACCCGTATGCGATGCTGGTGTCACAGGGAATGGCTTAACCCATTGTGCCACAACGCTGGCCCCAAACTGAAGTATCCTCATATCCCTCTGAGCTGTTATGAGTGGCAACACCCTTTCACTTGATCAAGACCAGTCACCCTGCCTCAAAGCAGCTTTCTCCTCTCTAGAGCTCCAAGACCTAAGTGTTGCCTTCCAAGTTCCATTATGTACAGTTGTTTAACAACTAAAAATAACTTATCAGGTACCATATCATCCAATGTATACATACATCTGCACATTGGATGATATTTAAATCATAGGCAAATGGGTCTCTCTCTTCAAAATTCCTTACAGCTTTTTTTTTTTGAACTATGAGTATAACATAAATTATCAATAGCTCTCCTTCTAACTGGAAATTAGTACCCATTGGTAATATGCCCAGTTTTTAAAAATTGCTTTTATAAAATATGTGAATATGCAGATACTTTCAAAAAAATGACACTAAGGAATCAGACTACTTGGTACTATAGGAAGGTGCTAAAATAATACCCAACACTAAAATGTTGTAATATGCTATTTAACTGGTTATAAACCCAAAACACGTGGAAACCTTATACTTAGAAAATTTTGAATTTCCCTTGATTGAACTGAGCTAGAAAACCAGTGTGGAAACCTGCAACCATACCCTCTGTTACCAGTATTCAAAAAGTCACTGGACCACTTCCTGTCTTCGTGATTATAAATTAAATAAGGTGGTCTACAGGTGGGAAAAGAGGAAAGTTCTGGCAAATTGTTACAAAAGATGACAGGAAAACTTAACTGTAATTTTACAATGCAGTTGTCTAACTATTGTCCTGGATTGAGACTGGATTTAAATGTTCCCTTTGAATCACAATGAACACAAGTTGAATAATTTAGGGCTTTCAAAAATATAGTGTTGGCTTTGCTATTGATTATGAATAGCCCAACCCAAGTAGTTCGTATCTTTTTTTTTTTTTTTTTTTTTGACTCAGAATTTTGAGAGGCAGCCAGAGGTTCCATCTGCTGGGTCACTCCCCAAAGGCCCTGGGCTGGGCCGGGGACTCCATGCACGTCTCCCACGTGGGTGGCAGGGCTGCCCAGTACTTGAGTTGTCACCTGCTGGGTCTCCAACCCGAGAACTCAGATATGGCGCCGGGCATCTTCACCACCAAGCTAAGTGCCTGCTGTCTTGGGTTCCATGTGACGTTTTTATAAAACGTTCTCAGAGTCTTTCATGAAGAAACAGACATGGGGCACCTCAGCTCTCCACGGTGCGCCGGTACTCGGCCGTTCCATCGGCAATGATGGCGTCCAGGGGCGCGCGCTTCTTGCGGATGCTGCGCCCGGAGGAGATGAGGTCCGCGTAGCCGCGCTGGTGCGAGAAGGCGTAGGCCGAGCGCCGCGACGACGCGCCCCGGCGGAACACGTTCTGCCGCCGTTTCCACTGCTCCTCGGCCTTCAACCGCTTGCGGTGCTTCTGGATCTGTAAGAGCGGGGGATGGGAAGAAAGGTCTTGACTAGGAGGTCGCCAGGACAGGACTGACGGCAGATGGCGACTGCGCACCTGTCCCAAGCCGCGGCGCACCCGGTGCGCACCCTCTGTAAGGGCAAGCTGACCTTGTGCCTGGCACCGGGCTGAGGGAAAACTCTGGCCTCTGGCCCTGGTGGCTCCAGCACTGTCTTGTCACTGCATGCAGGGTCTGGGGGCCACCTAGCCGCCCCGTCTCCCAGCTCCCCCATCCCCTGATGGATTCCCCTCCCTGGGGCCCTTGGGTGAAGAGTTCCCAGGTTTCCAGTTGTCAGACCGTTAGGCCTGGACGTGTTGACGTGGCGGAGGTGCCAACTGCAGTCACCCTGTCCAGCTTCCACAGGAGCGAGTAGGCGGAGAGGACAGAGCCGAGTCCCCTGCGCCCTCAGCCTGCTGGTTACCTCGCACGCTGAGAGATGCTACAGTGTTGTTGATACTGAGTGACAGCCCTCCCCTCCCTCACAGAGCAGGATCCTTTGGACCACAAGTAACACTTTTCTTTAAAAGAATACCAAAATCCACCCCTTTGCTTGGCAAAATGTTAACATTGTAATTGTTAAATTGAAAGGGAATGACAGAACGTTCGTAATTCCATTCTTTCATCCCAATCCCAAAAGGATTTATTTGCAAGATGCAGCTAAAGAAAGAGCAGACATTAACAGACATTCTTAGCAAACTCCCCTTGAACCTAGACTCCCAGGAGCGGTGCAATTGGGAGACATTCTGCTTTCCATGAGGGTCTCGCTCCTACCTTGTCACTTTCTGATGGCCAAATGGTCATGGACAAGAAGCGGATGGCAACGACAGGCAGCAAGCACACGGCGACGGTCAGGATGATGGTGAGCCAGATGTACGGCTGTCTCAGGGCGTTGGAAGCAGTGCCTGTGAAGAGCAGGGGCAGGACTCCGCGGGTTAGCTGGGGTGAATCCGACAACCAGACTAGCTGCCTTCCCACACCCATCATCGCTACTGGAGGGAGGGGCATTTGCAAGTCAGAGTAAGCAGAGCACAATTAGGAAGGTCAGTTCTCTAAACATGGCAAATGCACACCAGGGAAACAAGAGTTAAGAAGTGCCTTTGTTGACACAACACTGATTAAATATATGAAATTAGGTAAGAAAGCTTTTGGATTTTTTTTCCCCTAGAAATTTAAAAAAAAGCACTTTCCAATGTGGGAAACCTGGAAGAAGCTCCTACCTCCTGGCTTGGGCCTGGGCAAGCATTGGCCACCGCAGCCCTCGGGGGAGTGAACCAGTACTCCTCTCACTGTGTAGCTAACTTTGACTTTCAAAATAAATATTTAAAAAAAAAAGTCCTTATGGGAATATTCTAAGTTCTTGAGTACTGAGGTTTTTAAAATACAGTTAGGAAACACACAATCACAAAACAAAAACAACCCCAAGAAGAGAAGGGTGACCCCAGCACCCATCTTTTACAACCCAACTGCTGGTCACCACTACAGGGAAACCAGGGGACATGAATTCATTTTTCATTGTGAATCCAAACAATTCAAGTTGAGAACTTTACAGTTCATGATATATTCCACATGTTATAAAATACAGATTTCAGTTCAAATTCATTCCAGGATTTGTCAAATATTTTACTAGTTGCACTCAGTGGGCACATGACCAATTGTTCTCTACATATTTCCAATGATGCAGGGTGCTTTTGAGTTCTAAAATTCCCTCATCAAGGTGTTTTGTGGCTTGGCTAGCTAATTTAATCCTTGTAGGTCATTAAGTTTTGTCCAGAGGGGTATAGCCTTTGTGTCAACGGCCTTGCCAAAATTCAGTTTGTTTCGCTCAAGTAGATGAAAAATTTTATAGATTGTGTGCACCTTCAGATAGTGTTTTGAAAAGATGATTTGACAGTGCTGCCAGTACTGTGAAGGCACTTCCAAAAGTTCATGAAAAATGGAACTTATTTTGGCACAAATGAAAAATAAAAATAAAAAATAGAAAAAAAAATAATACTCTACATTTTCTATGAACTTTTGAAGAGCCCTTGTACAAGTATATTCAATTTTCCAATAATCTACCAATTGGGTTTTATGATAGGGGAAAAACTCTTATTTAGTCTTTTTAAGACTTGTTACCTAACTTTATAGTTGCACAGTTGTGTCCTGATATTTTTTATTTACTCTGGGATTATGTCAGACTCTAACCTACTGACAATTACACATTTATTTTTGGAGCTGAGAAAATACCAACCTGTAAATTGAAATGCAGATGGAAAGAGAACATGTATTCCCGCACTATGAAAGTCAAACATGATGCCAAAATAAAGAGCAATACTTCCAAAAATGGAAAAGGCATTCACAAAGGTCCAGTAAGAAGTGTCCAGGCCGATCTGTTGGGAAACCAGAGACAAACACAGCACTCATTTTGGGGAGTTAGCAAGACCTACAGGAGCTAAGAATCCTGAAAACAGAATTCAGCAACTTCAGCATGATTTGGCTTGAATACAGAACAATCGAAAACCTAACCATCCTTGACTCAAGGTAAGACATAGGAAATGTGTTGGGCGAAGGGATGAGAATAGCATTTGGTAAAGCAGCAGAGCTCAGCTGGAGGGAGAGTGGGAGATGCATGCCTGCCTGGGTCCCAACAGATACCAGCTTGGGGGAGGAGATCTGTGCACCTGGAAATTGACTGTTATGACGAGAGCAGTGGCAACTGTGACGGCAAAAGACTGGTAGTCGGATGGCGCCTCTCCGTCCTGTCCCACGGTCTGCAGGTAAGCTCCCAGGGGTATGAAGAAGAGCACCATGGACGTGAGGATCCCATGCAGCAAGCTTACGAAGAACCGCTTATAGTTGAAGAGCAAGTCTCTCTGTCCCACGACGTACAGCCCAGGGAATCGGAGGCTCAGTTTGTCACTCACGTCCTTAAGGGGGACACAACATTAGAGTGACGTGTTGTCCGCCAGGAGGCCAAAGAAGTCAGACATGCTGCCAGGCAAAAACTGAACCAGATGATAAATCCTGCAACATTTTCAGCGTACAGAGATCAGTCTCATAGCTCCTGCCACTACCATTTGATATTATTTTAATTCAGGGAGGAGCTAGGGAAGTTTAATAACTTGTTTTCTTGTGAGAAGTAGCGACATAAAGGTAAGGAGGCTTTTAAAAAAATCAATTTTCATATTGTTTCAAAACTCTGTGGGAAGAATGTTCACTGATGAGTATAAGTTGATGAATTAATTCTAAATCATTCCTTTCCATTAGGCCTTTCTATAGAAACTGCTGAAGTACAGTGTTAGACTGTATATCTTAACATTGCCCCTTGTCCAAAAGGAGAATAAAAAACACTTGTCAATGCACTCAGCCCAGTCACAGAAATCCTCTTCTTACAAAACAAGCAACACAGCACTTACACCCTGGTTGCCTGATAAAAGAATAACAGCAGGATTTTACTCGGAACACCCAGAAATGGCTGCTTGTCCCCTCCCACACCCACCCAGGGCAGCAGTGTGTGCAGAGCCTCTGGGCCAGCGCACTGCTCCTACCTGGTCGAGCAGCCCCATGAGGAGCACGGGCAAGCTGGAGTAGAGCACGTTGTACAGGGTGATGAACCAGTCCTCGTACGCAGTCTGCGAGGAGACGACAGGGCTTGGGTCACCGCATGGGCAGATCGCCAGTGGAGCTGGCATACCTTCCTCCACTTTCTCAGAGCAGGGACGTCCCTAGCGGAGTGGGGACCTCTCCAGCCCAGAGAAATACATCTTGAGAGAGAGAAGTTCCCTCCGCCTATGGGTCTGGCATCCCCTTTGGACACCGGTTCGAGTCCTAGCTGCTCCTCTTCTGATCCAGCTCTCTGCTTGTGGTCTGGGAAAGCAGTCGATGGCCCAAGTCCTTGGGCCGCTGCACCCAGGTGGGAGGTCTAAAAGCAGCTGGCTTTGGATTGGCTCAACTCCAGCTGCTGAAGCTGTTTGGGGAGTTTGGGGAGTGGACCAGTAGATGGCAGCCCTGTCTCTCCTCCCTCTCAAATAAATAAATCTTAAAAAGATAGAGGTTAGTTTCTGTGAACTGGCCCACCTCACAATGACCCTTCAACCCCAGGTAAGTGGTTTTGGGGAAAACTGATTCGAATGATGCTCATTTCATACCCTTTTATTAATGAGTCCAAATGCACGAAACTACACTAGTTCGGAAGCACCTAAGACCCTGCAGTAAGGGAAAACTAACTTTTATCCTTTATTTTGCAAGGCCAGAACCCATGAAAACACTTTGTAGACCAGTTTGAATATGAAAAATACACTTCTGAACAGGATAAACACCGCTGAATACACCATCCTTTAGGCTGGGACAGAGGGTCAGGGCTTACGCAGGACCAAGAGTCACGCACAGTCCAGAACTAGCAAGAAGACCCTGACCCTTGACCCTGCTCAGCATTTCCTGGCCTCAGCATCCAAGGAGGTTTGACAGCTACAGGCGATTTTTTTTTCTCGCAGGTTCACTTTTTTCTAAGACTTATTTGAGATCTTCTATCCACTGGTTCCCTCCCCTAAATGGACACAATGGCCAGGGCCAAGCAGAATATTTTTAAAGCACCAGGAACATTGAGAAAAGTCACCCAAGGGCTGGCTTATTATGATCCCAACTATAAGATACTTGCAAAGATAGAGGAAAGAGACAAATTTGGTCTCTTAGAACTAGTTTTTATTTAAAAGAATGCTACCCCCAAAATAAGTTCCATTACCTGTGCGGAGTAGCCGTTGAAGAAGGAGTACCAGAAATGAACCAAAGTAAAGGCAAAGTTTTTGTAGAAGAAGTATCGGAGGAACTTGCACATCCTGATGTAGGACCAGCGGCCATGCACCAGCAGCAGCCTCTGCAGGTATCTGAACTGAGCAAAGGAGTAGTCGCTCGACATGACCGCTTGCATTCCTTCTTGTCCGCTTATTCCAACACCAATGTGGGCAGCTGTGGGGCAGAGGGAAAAGACACTGTGGATTCTAGGCTGCTTTTAAGATGACACCAATGTTTCCCCAAGCAAAACACAGACATACAATCATGGAACAATAAATATAAAAGCTCTTGCTCACCATCCCTCACCCCCTGCACTTGAAATCAATTCCAAGGACAAGGCACTAAACAAAGCACCTGGTAGGGCTTCCATACATGATTGTAAAAGGATCTCGGGTGGGTGGTGAATTCCACGGAGATGATCAGTCCAGCCCAGAAGCCGTCCCGCCCACACTCAGGGTGAGCCTCAGGCACCTGTGTGTACCCGGTGTGTCCCTGCCTCGTTGGCCACCGCTGAGTCAGCCGTGGCAGGCACGTGATCTGTGGGAGATACTATGAACTGACTCTTTCAAACTTCATTCCATGCTGCTTCTAATTGCAGAGGGGGGAAAGCAAATAAAAGTTACATTTCCCAGACTCCTTTGCAGCTGGGTTCCGTTGTTCACTCACTCGTGACTTGAATGTAGTAGTGAGCCCAGCCCTCCTCCTCTTCTGGCATTTCTTCAGGGTTTGTACCCATTCTCCAGCTGCCCAGATGTTGATAGGCAACTGCAAAGGCTTCTCAGCCGAGAAGCTCGACAGAGGGACCTCAAGGGACCCCTTGTCCCAGAACCTGCTTCTTCAGTGCACTTAGAGCGTTTGAAAGTGTCTGGTCTCTTGTAAGCAACCTACTGGTTCCTATACAAAGCCCTAACTGATGGAAAACTTAAGCCAGGGCAATTCGTCTGCTAGAGCTTCTGGAATTAGAATTCAGGTGTGTTTGTGTCTAGAATTTTAACTTAAAAACTCCTAAGGTGTAGAATATATTTCTTTCTGAGGCGCAGAGAGATAAAGTAGGAGAGAATAAAAAGCAAGAGTGAGAGACAGAGTTCCTGATTCGATGCTAGGTCCTGCTTCCAGCATCTTCCCAAGGCCTGACTTCTTGGACTGCATGAGAAATCTTATAACTCTTTTAAAGAGGAAAAGGATACAAACTAAAATACTATTTAACCTTAAAACATACAATTTTCCAATATAAAATGTTATCTATGAAATGCATTAATAAAAACTTTAAAAATAGTCACAATTTCATTCATCCTTCCAGTAGTCATTAACATTTTCACATTAGAACATTACGGGCCGGCGCCACGGCTCACTAGGCTAATCCTCCGCCTTGCGGTGCTGGCACACCGGGTTCTAGTCTCGGTCGGGGCGCCGGATTCTGTCCCGGTTGCCCCTCATCCAGGCCAGCTCTCTGCTGTGGCCCAGGAGTGCAGTGGAGGATGGCCCAAGTGCTTGGGCCCTGCACCCCATGGGAGGCCAGGAGAAGCTCCTGGCTCCTGGCTTCGGATCAGCGCAATGCGCCGGCTGCAGCGGCCACTGGGGGGTGAACCAAAGGCTACCCCTTTGGGGGAGGACCTTTCTCTCTCTCTCTCTGTCCACTCTGCCTGTCAAAAAAAAAATTACAAATTTTATCTAGGTCACAAAATTCATGAACATAAACATAATGAGATCACTTAGAGAAAATGCGTTGGAAACACAACTTATTATTACTCAGAAGTCACTGCCAGCTCGGCAGGGTTTCCAACCAGAAAACTTCACAAAATCTCGCCCTGTTGTAGGATATAAGGGCCAGAAAATTCAAAACATAACTGTAGTGACTTGTCCTGACCTATGTTTTCAATAGCACTTTGTAGTTGTAAAACCATACAGTGAATTGCATCCCATTCAATATTTATGTTCCCTTTCAAAACATACAAATAGTTCTTATGACAAGTTGTGGTTGCCAAACTGTGGCCTCTAGTTCTTTCCTGAATAAGCCACAGAGGGAAATGTCGAGATTTTTCTGTGGCTGTTGGAGTTAAGAGGAGGAGTCACTGGCCCAGTTCCTGATATCCATTCAAGGATAATATGAGAAATGGGCTTTGTCACAGTGCAGAGGATAATCGGAGACAACTGAACAGATGCACTCCAAGGCAACACTTTTTTTTTTTTTTTCTAGATTCTAACTATAGGAACCTAGATTTGTCTCTAGTCAAATGCCTCACTGATAGGTGGACTTTTATAATTTCTCAACAGACTGATGACTTCACCAGCAACAGTTCTTTCTGCCTTTATCTCATCTCTCTCATGCTTCATGTACATTCTCCAGAGCTAAGACCAAGAAGAGACAACATCCACCCACCCAGCTGGTATGAGCTATCTTTAGGTACAAGGAGGGGAGAGGGCAGCCAGTGAGAGTCCTTGAATCCTTACGAGGGACCAAAATGTGATGGCTTGAGATTTCTGCACCTACCAGACTATACAGTGAAACGTAAGACTTACTAGTCGATAGTCATCTTGTTTTTGCCACTGGAATTTCCCCCTACTCCTTTTTGACCAGCAAGAATTTCTGTATGTTCTGGATGCTGCTTTTACAAAGCACAAAAAGGTATTAACAATACTTGGATAACTTCCAAGGACCTCAGAGATGCCGCCTCCATTTTCACCCAATGTATAAGAGCACTTGGCATAGAACAGAATTTTTTTTTTTTTTTTTTTTTTAGCTTCAGATTAACAAGCTTTGTAGCATGGGTAGGACACCTTCCGTTCACAGACCTGTGTGAAATTACGTGGTCTGGCTTTGCCAAGGCAACCACAGGTGGGACTCTGAATTCAATAAATCTATAGGATGCTAATTTTAAGGTGATAATGTTGTATGGCCTGTGAATACTGTCATAAATATCCAAAGGGCCCTTGGCAGAAAAGAGTTTCCCCACCCCTGCTAAGGTCTCGTATCCCTCTATCAACTGGAAAACTCAGAGGAACAAAAACTTTCAAGCCTAAAAGACATGATCAGATTGCAAATTTGCAAGGGAGACCATCCCTGCTCTTCCCCTCCCCCGTATCTACAAGTCTATGTTATAACTGCGTAAAAATATTTGAGTTCCTTGCCTTTTGGGCACAGCTTGTTAAGGAAAGCAATGGAAAATAAATGAGAGCTGCCTACAGAGGAAAGAAACATTTAATTCAGGGCAGGAAATGCCATTCGTAGGGTAGAACAAGAATGTGCAAAAACCAGTTGGAGAGGAATTAAATCAGGAGCAGTGACAGATATACACATTGATAAAAAAGCAAGAAGACATACGTCATACAGCTGACTCCTGCTGAGGCAGCAAAGTTGGAATATTCTTAGTATATACCGAGGAGGAAGAGGAGGAGACTCTAAGAGAAGAAAGAGATGGACTCATGAGTCACAGAACAGGCTAAATTTAAAGTCTAGTCAGTCATAATGTATTTAAGCTAACCAGCAGAGCAGGACATGCATATGTCATGTAATGTTTTCTATCAACCATGACTAATATCATAGAACTGGAGGTGACATTGGTAATAATTTTGTTTTCAGATGAAAACCCTGAGGACTGCACACCAGTCCAGAGTGATACACGATGCTGCCAGTAGGATGAGCACAAGTATTCAGGCCTCAGTCATTTGAGTACTTCCACTGCAAGATGCAGATTGGTTACCCCCTAATCTAAAGACCCCAAATCCCACGTTCTCCAAAATCTGCTGTTCAAAGTTTTAGATTTTAGAGCTAAATTTTCATGTTAGGGATGCTGCATGGGTAACATACATGCTACATTCCAGAATATGAAAAACTCCAACATTGGAAACACTTCTGGCCCCCGGCATTTTGGATGAAGATTGCTCAACCTGTACTCTCTTCCAACAACAGAGAGAGGAGAAAGGGCCAGGACTCTGATGTGTAGGTGAGGGCCACCGTTTGGGTTCTGCATGTTTTTATAACAGCCCAACTGCATTCTGGGTGACAGCACTCAGTCTTTAATTGTAGGCACCTCAACCAGCAAAATGAACCTCACAGTCTCCTAGGGAGGTCAGGAGGATGGGGAGGCCACCGGGACACTTCCCTCCATTGCCAGACAACTCACACCAGGTGGCCCCACGGTGAAGGTTTACCGCATTAAATGGATCACAGGTCTGAAGGAAGCTCCAGAATGAGGTGCTTAGCTGGGGGACAATGACATTCTCAAAGCCAACGTTAGCATTTATGCCCAGCTCAGCAGGATGTTCTACAAAACTTTAAATATCAGAGCTTTTAATTGGCCCTTTATAGGAATAGGAAGGAGAACCAGCAAGAGGAGAAAAATCACACTAAGCAGATGTAAAAAAAGGAGACCAAGTTCCATCCCACGGACGGCATCTCCTACTTGGCATTCTGTGCAGACTGCTCTGATTTTCTGGGTAGGCTTCCTGGGGGTGGGTCACGGGCATGATCACGGTCACGCGTCTTTAGTAGAGGTTGGATTTAGGGAAACCTCAGTGAGAAATGAGCCCCCGAACGTCCCTGCCGTTGTTTCTCCTCCCTAGCAAGTTGGGCTGCACGGGACTCACTCTTGATCATGTTCACGTCGTTGGCCCCGTCTCCGATGGCCAGCGTGATGGCCTTCTTGTACCTCTTCACCAGGTCCACTACCATGGCCTTTTGCTTGGGGGTGACGCGGCAGCAGATGACGGCGCTGCACTCACAGGCCAGGTCCACGAAATTCTTCTGCCGCTGCTCTTTCTTAGCCTCGAGCCGTCTCTTACTCTGCGTCCGCATGCGTCTCTCTTCTTCTGTCCTCGGGAACTTCAGCTTCAGGATGTTACTTTTCTTGGTCTTTTTCTCCAGAAGAATTTCATTCTGAGAAATTGGAGAGAGACCAGAGTACATCCCTTTCATTCGTACACCAAGAGTGTCATTCCCAAGAATTAAATTATATCAAGGAGAATTCTTGGGTTCTATCATGGATTGTAATGTTCTGATTATATAATACATTTATAGAAAAATTAGAAAATGCAAAATTCTACATGGAAAAAAATGAAAATTATCTATTAGTTAATAAACCAGAATAATGACTTTCCCCAATCTGATATAATTCCTTTCATATCTCATTCTATTGAGCCCCAACTTTGGATAATCACACTTTCACTTGTAGGATATGGGATTTTTAGATTGGCAGTGAATATGCTAAACCACCCAAAACTGGTCCAAAAGGCACTTTTACTTCTTCATTTGCACCCAAGGCTCAGATACACACACGGTACATACCAACCAAGAACCGGTGATTATTAAGGCCCTGTTTCCACCAGATGGGAAAAAAGGTTCCTGCACAGGAGGTGCAAATTTTGCATAGACTCCACCTCTATTCCTCTGGTTTTCCATCCTTGTATGAAGAAGAGAACTGCAGGGAAATAAATTTAAGTGTTTAAAGTACAAGACCATAAATAGGCCCCTGAGTCTGAGTTTTGACGTATACTTTCTACAGATTGTGGTAAAATACACATAACATAGAATGTACTAGCTTAGCCTTATTATTAGTATTTTGAGAGACAGACAGTAAGCTCCCATCCACTGGTTCACTCCCTAAATGTCTGCAATGGTGGGAGCTGAGCAGGGGTGGAGGTACTCAGTCCAGGGGTCCCACATGGGTGGCAGGATCCCAGTGACTTGAGCCAACACCTGCTGCCTCCCAGGGTCCACATTAGCAAGAAGCTGGAGTCAGATATTGAACCCAGCTACTCTGATGTGTGACATGGGCATCTTAACCAATGTCTAATTACTAGGCTAAATGCTTGTCCCATGAACCATTTTTCAATTGTATAGTTCAGTAGCATTATATATATTCACAGTGTATGTGCAACCAATTTCCAGAACTTCATCTTGCAAAACTGAACTTCTGTACGCATTTCAACAGTGACGCCCCATTTCCAATCTCCACGTTAACAGTAAGGCACTAAGTCCCCAAGGCGGGATATGATCAGCTTGTAGCAAGCTGGTGGGAAGACTGGGATGAGGACTCAAGTCTCCATGCTTGCAGCAATGGGCTATCCCATTCCACATTCACACAGCCATATTCTTTCACCTTCAGAAGGTTTCTGAACCTTGGCCCTCCTGATAGCTCTGTACTGAGGTTGGCCACTGTCAGATGTGCAGCACTGGGGGATGTGTAACTGAATCCCTGGCTTCTCCGAGCCAGCAGCATCCTCTTCCCCTTTTTGTGACAACAGAAGATGTTTTTAGACATCGCTGAATACTCCTTGGAAGTTGTCTCCCTTGAGAACCACTGCACTAGAGAACTGGGTGTTTACTGTCCCTTTCTGCATTAATTTAATACTCATTTTCACACTGAAGGTTACATCGAATGTCATTCCTACTATGGAATAATTGATTTTATCCAATACAGGTTGAGCATCCCTCACCCAAAAGTCCAAGATAAAGCATTGAAAGGCTGGAGGATTGGAAAAGAAGATGGTGTTACCTATTAAACCATTTGATAGACACTGTCCTTTCAGGAATCACCTAGAACGATGACTTGCTGTTGTATATAGGTAAACTGTGTAATTGTATATAGGTAAACTTGGCTAAAAGCATGATCATGAAATTTGCTACTTACATGAATTTTCTCTTTTAATGTAGTTCACACTTTATTTTAGAATATTTGCTCTTTATTATAAAGAGAACAGATGTCATGTATTCATAGATACAGTTCTAAGAAGATAACCATACTTCCCCCTCAACACCCTTTCTTCATCTCCCTCTCCATCCTTCCTTTTTAAATTTTTACAATAACATACTTTAAATTTAATTTATAATCATCATAGTAAGTCTACTAGTTTTTGCTTAATGCATCACTAATCATAATGTTCAACATGTAAAAAGTAGACCACTGTTCCACAGGAATATAGACAAGGGCCATAAACAATCAAATTGGAAGATGTCAGTTTCATTCTTATATATATACAGGTTTTATTTTTTGTATTCTGTATTAACTACCACATATCAGAGAAAATGATGTTTGTCTTTTTGAGACTGGCTTATTCCATTAAGTGTAACTGTCTCCAGCTGCATCCATTTTGTTGCAAAAGACAGGATTGAGAAAACAGAAGTGTATCAAGGCATCCAACTACAAAAAATGAAACTGTATAATAATTAGCCAAATTACTTGAGACGCAAAACTAGTCAAACATATTAAGCATTTATTTATCTATTGCTACTGTTTAGAATCTCAGAAGCTCAAAGCAGCCTGTTCTATGTGCTTCTATTCAAACAGAACCCATCTAGCTGGTAAGCCTGCTGGGTTTGCTTGTTGAATTTAGCGGAGTACCAATACACTAGGATGATTCATGATAACTTGTCATTTTTTTTTCTTCACACTATTTGTTGCACTCTTTTACTTAGTGTAGAGTTAACTTTACACTCATTAAGTAAACTGAAAGAAGATCTTTGTAAAAGTTAAGAGTGGGAATGGGAGAGGGAGAAGGAAGAAAGGTTGGAGCGTGGGTGGGAGGGAGGTATGCTGGGAAGTATCACTATGTTCCTAAATCGGTATATGTGAAGTACATGAAACTTGTATAACTTAAATAAAATTAAAAGAAAAAAAGAAACAAGAATGACGAGCAAATTCCTTAGCACCTTAGGAGGCCTGGTAAGTGCGCTCCTTAACAGCGTAACCGGCCCAGCGACAGCCTCGGAGGGTTGTTGTACAGGAAAAGCTTGAGGAATACATGAAGTGTCCAGCCACCTCCAACCCGTCGTGCTGACTGCGTGTGGCGTGTGTAGCATCCCAGCCAGGCAGGGCTGTCTCACGATGCATTTCAGGACTAAGGCAGTTTCTGCATTAGCCCAGGTTTCAACTCATGCCTGTCCCCTACATGAGACCACAGACGGCCTATGGGAAGTAACCCGTCCAATCCATTGCGTAATGGGGCCAAGGATGGATGTTTTTCTTCTCCTGTTTCTCTTTTAAAAGGTGTAATTTCAGGCAGTGCCATGGCGCAGTAGGTTAATCCTTTGCCTGCGGCCCTGGCATCCCATATGGGCGCCAGTTCTAGTCCCAGCTGCTCCACTTCCAGTCCAGCTCTCTGCTATGGCCTGGGAAAGCAGTAGAAGATGGCCCAAGTCTTTGGGCCCCTGTACCCATGTGGGAGACCCAGAAGAAGCTCCTGGCTCCTGGCTTCGGATCGGCACAGCTATGGCCATTATGGTCATTTGGGGAGTGAACCAACGGAAGGAAGACCTCTCTGTCTCTCCCTCTCACTGTCTGTAACTCTAATTCTCAAATAAAATAAATAAAATCTTTAAAAAAGGTGTAATTTCTAGAAAAGGCAAGACATGAAATTCATATTAATTCATAATTAATTTATGAGGCTGTCACAGGCTCAGTTTCTGCTTTAGCAGGTGAGTGAGCACTGAGGGCTTGCAAAGAATGGAGGAAAAATGGCCCCTGAAAGACCCCAAGTTTCCCTAAAACTAAACTCTACTCAAACAATAGGCCACAGTGCATTACCTTGGAACTGCCTGCTAGTCTCCTGCTCCACTTAAACACGAGGTCACTGAAGTAACACGTTCTCGCCTTGTTTCTCTTGTCTGCCCGTGTAGTCTGAGCTGTTGGAGGGTCTCATACCCCAGGCTCATACTTACCTTATGTCTTCCCCGTAGCAGATGGTGGTCTCCTCAGTCAGCAGTTCACAAGCGAATCCTATATTTTCAGCAGTTTCTACAGCAGAATAAAGTCATGTCAAATGTCATTCCTACTACTAAGCTCAATAATTGGTTTTATCCAATACAGGTTGAACATTCTTAATCCAAAAATCCAAAATCTGAAACTGAGTTCTGACGTGATGTGTTGGGTTGTAGGCCAAATGCAGGTGCACGTAAAACATTGTATCAAATTATCTTTGGGCAATGTGTCTGGGGTGTAAATGAATCATAATTGAATTTCATGTTTAGATGTGGATCCCACCTCCAAGATATTTTATACACACATATTCTAATAATCCCTCCCTCAAAAAACCCAAAATTTGAACCACTCTGGTCCCAGGAATTTCAGATAAGGGATATTCAGACTGTAATAATGATATTATTTTTGTCAGTTCATGAACATATCCAGATTCAACCAAATATGCCATTTTTCAGTAGCAATGTATAGTAATCATACAAAGAAAACAAATTCCTTTCTTTGTAATAAGTGACGATCAAAGGCCTGTTTGAGGTGTTTTCAACAATAAAACATGCTATATTGAGAAACATAAACTAGTTATTTAATAAATGAGTCCTACACACACTCAGTTCCTAGGCTGTAATCACTGTTAAAGAGAGAGGGCAGCCACTCCCCTCAATGCTCACAAGGGCCTTTGACTAAAGATATTTTTTCCCTTTTTCCATTACCATCCATTTGGTATTTATTAAAGGTCACGGCTGTGCTTCCCTTAACCTCACAGAGCGCAGCCCCCAACGACAATGTCAAAACAAGAGACATTATCTAATTTCCTGTGGGAGGCTTGTGGAGTAGATGACTGTTGAGCTCAAAACCTAAAAATGAAAATCTTTCCTTGGGTATCAAATTATTATGATTTGCAAGCAATAAAACTGGGCAAGAAAACAAAAGCTGTTATTCACAACCCTTTTTGTACTGTTCCAGCAAATGGCAGAACTTTGGAAGGACGGAGGGACAGGGGCGTGGTCTTTTCAGGCAGGAGGCCACGTCTGCCTGCTCATCACAATCAGCAAGATGTGACCAGGAGCCAAACCGTACAGGATGAACCCTGCTCCTGGAGGGAAGATGGACAAGGATGTGGTCCGAGGGGGCTGGAAAGTCGTAGGAGGGTTTCTCAAGGAAAGTTTCTCCCTCCCAAAGACCTAGATGAGGTTTTACAGGATGGAAAGTCTGGATTTGTACAAGGGAAATGGCAGCTGTAAATATTTATGCGTGAACAGACGCTGTTCTCAAGGCAGCGAATTACCCTTTTTGTCTCCGGTAAGCACCCAGATCTTAATGTCGGCCTTTGCAAGTTTTGAAATGGTTTCTGGAACTCCATCCTGCAGCTTGTCTTCAATTGCTGTGGCTCCCAAGAGCTGCAATGCACATTTGAAGAAATGGAGTCAGAAAACAACCCCCAGGGGTCAGCGCTGGGGCGTGGCTGGCTGGGCTTCTGCCTGCAGCGCTGGCATCCCGTAGGGCTGCCAGTTCCTGTGCCCGCTGCTCCTCTTCCAATCCAGCTCTCTGCCTGTGGCCTGGAGAGGCAGTGGAAGACAGCCCAAGTGGGCCCCTGCACCCACGTGGGAGACCATGAAGAAGCTCCTGGCTTCAGATCTGCCCAAGTCCAGCTGTTGCAGCCATTTAGGGGAATGAAGCAGCTGATGGAAGATCTCTCTGTCTCTCCCTAACTCTGCCTCTCAAACAAATCTATAAAAAAAGGTAACCCCCCAAAATATTTTAACAATTTGCTACCCTGTAAAATGAGGGGTTCAGTGTATACCCCATTTGGTACTCTCTTGGGCCAACGGCAGGTATTGATACCAACTGGGGTATACAGCTGCTCCACTTCCAATCCAGCTCCCTGATAATGCACCTGGGAAAGCAGCAGAAGGTGGCCCAATTGCTTGGGTCCCTGCCACACATCGGGGAGACCTGGCTGGAGTTCCTGGCTTCAGCCTGGCTCAGCCCTGGCCATTGTGCCCATTTGGGAATAAACAGGCAGATTGAAGGTCTCTGTCTTTCCATCTCTCTCTGTAACTCTGCCTTTTAAATAAATCTTCAAAAACGAGATTTGTCAGAATATAAATTGTTTCAGTAATTCCATAGTGAAATAAGTAAATACTAGTTTTTGTGTAAAAATCACAGAGAAATTTTATATGTGATGTAAAAACAGAATTAGATGAATACCTCTCCTAATTTTGTCTCATAAGGCCAACTTCAAATCTCCTTGCCAAGCAAAAAGAATTCAAATGATCTAGTTCCCTTGTACCAACTTCAAACACAAGGGATTTCTAGAATTATCTTTGAAACATGAAATTAAAACAAGTAGTAATACTTCATAAGATTTTCAGTTTTCTGTTTAGAACATCAAGGCTGAAACTCACTATTAAGTCTTTTTCAATCTCCTCGTATACTTTATCCAGAGCTTCGTCTCGGTTGACCGAGGCCACGCTGGCAGCCGTAAACTTTTTATTCCATTCTGCGAATTCTTTTTCTTCGATTTCCTTGTAGCAAAGGCACAGAGTTCTAAGAGTCTCACTTGCAAAGATCTGTTTCATATAAGAGACAATCCATGTATACAAAGAATAGTGAATTTCATGTATTTCAAGATCAAGTTTGAAATCACATTTAAGTAACAGACTAAGAGAATGTCAAAGGACATGATGAAAGATGATGGACTGTGTGCAAACGCATGCCACAGAGGGGATTAAACCTCCCTTTAGAATGGGCTTGGTTTTTCTAAGCATTTGGTGGGTCCCGGGGCTGTGTCAGATCCCGGATTAAAGGAAAAGCTCTACCTTTCTCACTCATGTTGTCAGAGCAAAGGAAGCCTCCTCCTGTTAATGACAATAGACTGAAGGAGCTTCCTTGGGGTAAATGGTGTCTCCAGCACTGTTGCCCTCACAATGTGCCCCAGGACTATCTCCTGCAGATTGGCAACCAAGCAGCATTCTCTCAAGCCAGTCCTAAAATATGCGAGCCACTGTTAAAGCTGAGATCAGACATTTTAGTGAAAAACAGCATCTAGGCATTTTCTTCTGGGGTAAACTGTTTTAAATACCAATATTTCAATATAAAAATCTTCCATTCCTTCACGGTCACCTCTGGTCTAGCCAAGAAGGCTGAAACGGCTCACCCAAATCAGCATTTCCTTTGAGAGATTCTTTGGAAGTTTTCGCATTTATTTGATTACATTGTGACTGTTCACATCTTCATGAGAATTCGTCCAGTGTCGAACTGGTAAGAACACTTACCAGTGTCGGTAAGTACTTAAACAGTGACCCCCACTTAGTAAACAACATATTCATCCGGCTTCTCCCTGTAGAGCTCTTGGCTGCCTCTAAAACTCAGTTAATCCTTAAGGGAAATCCTTACAGACTAAGAGCTGAAAGCTGAAGATGCTTTTTCTAACAAACCTCCCTGGCAGCAATCACCCGCACTCTCTGTTTTTTAAAAACACTTATTCATTTGAGACACAGGGAGAGACGGATATGGAGAGGACACCTGTCCACTGGTCCATGCCCCAAATGTCTGCAACAGCCAGGGCTGGGCCAGATCAAAGGTAGGAGCCAGGAACTCAACCCAGGTCCTCTCCATTGGTTGCAATGACCCAGGCTCTCACCACTCCTTCCAGGATGCACGATAGCTGGAAGCTAGAACGGGAGGTGGAGCTGGGACTTGAACCTGGGCACTCCTGTATAGGATATAGCATCTTAATCACTAGGTCACATACCCGTGCCCTCTCCCTCTTTCATATGGGCAGCTAATGACTCATGTTATATATAAACATTTTTCTCAGCTACCTCACACTTCTAATCCAGCTCCCTGCTAACACACCTGGAAAGGACACAGAAGATAGCCCAAGTAGTTGGACATCTGCCAACCACATGGGCGACAAGGATGGAGTCCCTGGATTTGGCCTCATTAAGATCTGGCTGTTGTGGTCACTTGGGAAGTGAACCAAAAGATGCCGGCCATCTCTCCCTCTGTGTTGCTCTGCCTTTCAAATACATAATTTTTTTTTAAGAGGCAGAAAAGGGACACCAGTTCTGACCAATCTCCTTTGTACCTCGCTGCTGTCATACAAAAGCCAAACTACATGGGGACTGGCTGGCCATCCCCAAAGTGCTAGTTCCAGAAACATTCTGAATAGCTGCAGTATCCGTGCACCAAGTGTGTAGCTTTCTAAGATAAGGACTCCGAAGCAATCAAGACCAAACTGTTCTAGTGACAAAGACATCACAACCCTACGATCAACACAGTGCTTGGTCACTCCCAGTCATACAGGAACATTCGCTTTCCTTCGTTCTACACCTAGCAGTTGGTGGAATTCTTGAGGGCCACACAGATATTAAGACCATGGCTTAGTGTAGACCTGTGGCTGGCTCAAGGAGAAAGATAAGCCCCACCCCAATATCAGCCCTGCAGATCCTGGAGACCTAGAAGCTGGGAAAGGGAACCAAGGCCATTTCCCAGGATTTCAGCGGCAGGGTCAGAACGGGAGCCTATAGCTGGCTGTATTCGTGCCGAGGTGCTTTTTCTACCCAGCTGTCTCAGAGCAGGTGGAGGGTCAACAGTTAACACACAGCTTTCACTTGAGATAAGGAGAGAGCATCAGACAGACAGACAGCGCTGTGGCAGACAGAGGGGAGGTGAGGCTTACATCCAAGGCATCCTGCGTCTCCTGCTTGGTGGGGTTCATGCGGTGTAACCGTTCGTAAATCACAGTGTCAGCACCTTTGCAATAAAGCCTGATGTTGCCTTCTGGGGTTCTTACTGGTAGCAAGGGAAAGAAAAGCACACAGAGTTAAGTTTGCTTCTTAATAGGAAACTACATTCGTATAATTAATTAGAAGCATTAGCTGAGCTCACAATCCATTATTAATTTAAAATCATCAATGCAGCTAGGAAAACACCGCCCTCAGAGCTGGTGAGCTGCTGTCTACATTGACTGTAATAGTGAAATAAATCTGAAAAAATTCGTCCACAGTCAGCCCAGTATTCTGTATCGTTCTTTTTCTTCTAACAAATGTTTGCTGACTCTCTACTGTGAGCTATACCCTAGGCTGGCTACTTTATTCCATTGTGTTTGCTTTGTCCAGGCCAAGCAACAGGAATCGTTCTTACGCAGGAACTCACAACACTTGCTTCTTTAATAGTCAGACCACACTACTCTTTGGAACCATTTGCTCGTTTTCTGAGCTGTGCGATAATTTCATCATAGTGTGAGCTTCATGGCTACTAGATTTTAAATTTTGCTGGGTTTGGTAAATACCAGGAGTGATACACAGAGGAGGCTGGCAGACACATTACTCAGGTAATCAAAGTTCACATCACCACAGTGAGGCAAACCCACACCACGTGCCTTCTGCTGTGATACTTGGGGAAGGGTATGACATCGCTTATGGGCTCTTTTTCTGCCAACAATATGTGACCTGAACCTAAATCACGAGGGCACAGCAGGCAGACCCACACTGAGGGACCCTCTGCAGGATAACTGTCTGTGTTATCCACAAACGTCAGTATATGAAAGATTAAAAAAGGATGAAAGGGATGGGCATTTGGCACAGTGGTTAAGATGCCAGTTAAGATGCCTAAATCTACCATCAAAGTTCAAGCCCCAGCCCCAGCTCCTGACTGTAGCTTCCTGCTAATGAGAACTCTGGGTATTGGAGTCCCTCTACTTGTATGGGAAACCTGGATTGAGACCCAGCCCCTGGCTTTGGCTTCAGCCCGACTCTGTCCTCTATGTTAAGGGCATTTGGTTGAGTGAACCATTGGGTAGGATCTCTCGCTCCCTCTCTTCCCCCTTCTCCTTCTCCAATAAACAGGTTTTTAAAAACATGCTGAAGAACTAATCTTGATTCAGAGTCATGATCACCTAATGAAATATTCAATCTTGAATTGGCTCCTAGAATAGAAAAACATAAGAAAGGAAAGAAATTTCCTGGGAAAATCTGAAACATTGTGTAGATTAGATAGTAATATTATATCGTCTTAAACTTCCTGGTGCTGATCAGCATGTATAATAGAATGTTCTTGTTCTTAGGAAATACCTACTTAAGTATTTATGGGGAAAGAGGCATTAATTCCGTATGTGACTTAATCTCAAGTGGTCAGAAAATAATAACCTGTGTGTATGAGAGGACTTCAGAAAGTTTATGGAAAACATATATTATAAAAAAACTATGCATGGATTTAAAAAAAATTTTAACTAAATAAATAAATAAAAAGATAATTTTTTTTGAGAGACAGAAAGCTATCTGCTGGTTCACTCTCCAACAAATGCCTGCAACAACTTGAGCTGAGCTGGGTCCAAAGCTGGAAAACGAAAATGCAAACCAGGTCCTCCACATGGGTGGCAGGACCTCAATTACTTGGGCCATCACTGTTGCCTCCTGGGGCCTGCATGGACAGGAAGCTGCAGCCAGGAGCCAGAGCTGGGAATCAAATCCAGGCCCGCTGATGTGGGATGCAAGAATTTTAACCACTAGGTTAAACACCCACTCCCTAAAGTTATCTCTTAATTTCATGCTCTATTAATTTTTCAAGTACACTTGTGTAATGGAATTGACAAAGAAAACAGGGCAAATGCTCATAATTGGTGCGTATGGTTCTTTAAACCATTCGTGCAACATTTCTATAGGCGTGAAATGATTTCAAATTATGAGCTGAAGCCGGCGCTGCGGCTCACTAGGCTAATCCTCCGCCTAGCGGCGCCGGCACACCGGGTTCTAGTCCCGGTTGGGGCGCCGGATTCTGTCCCGGTTGCCCCTCTTCCAGGCCAGCTCTCTGCTGTGGCCAGGGAGTGCAGTGGAGGATGGCCCAGGTGCTTGGGCCCTGCACCCCATGGGAGACCAGGAAAAGCACCTGGCTCCTGGCTCCTGCCATCGGATCAGCGCGGTGCGCTGGCCGCAGCGCGCCGGCCACGGCGGCCATTGGAGGGTGAACCAACGGCAAAGGAAGACCTTTCTCTCTGTCTCTCTCTCTCACTGTCCACTCTGCCTGTCAAAAAAAAAAAATTAAAAAAAAAAATTATGAGCTGAAACAGATTCACAATTAGGACGTGATCACCATCGCCACCTGGTTGAGTGCCTGGACTGTAGGTTGACTTGGATTGTTAGGCTCAGGCTCACTGTTCTCAGAACTCTCCTACTGAATCCTCCCTTCTGTAATGTCCAGGGTAGAAGAGGAGAGCTTGGAGGGGCTCTAAAAGTCACCCACATCACAGGCAGCACTCCAAGCTGTCCACAGGGGGCTCTGGCCATGTGGCGCTTGCTACTCTAAATTCAGTGGCTGACGGTCCCTATGGTGAAAGCACCTCAACACATTTGCAAGATTCAGGCACCTGCTGCTGTCCCTTTGAGTAGTGGACAGGGTGAGGAATGAAGAAGAAAAAAACCTACCAGTGTCAGTGTGTCTATGGAACCTTCCAGGGCCCAACTGGTCCACTTGTTGCCTGCTTTATCCTGACATCATTAAATAAAATGATCCGAACACAACACTCAGATAAGTGATTCCTAGGCAGACTCTGAGAAAGACCTACCAATTATAGACATCCGCTTCCGGTCACTGTTGAAGTCCAAAATGGCAAGGACATTGTAGGTCCTTTCGGTGCCCAGCTCGCTGATGGTGATGGTGTTCTGTGTCCTGGCCAGGAAGGTGAAGCCAAAGTTCCTAGCGGCATTGACCAGGGCACCTTCGTCCGGAGAGGCCGCCTGGTAGTTGAGCTGACCTGGCAAGGGAAGCAGAAGAGCTGTAAAACCAAATGCACTGCTCATCCCTGCGCTCTGCCCTGAGGTCTCCAGGAGGGTGAGCATGCACAGCAAAGCCCGCAGCTGCCCCAGGAAGACAGGTCACCAGCTCTCCAGGAGCATGGCACAATGCAAACACCGTAAGCTTGAAATTGCACATCAAATTGCAAACATTGATATAAACTAGAGAACAGTTGGCCAAGAAGAGAAAAACATTTTCCCATAACCCCATTATCCAGAGGAAAGACAATAAAATTGTTGTTTTGTTATCATTTCCTCTAGTCATTTGTAAAATGCCTTGTTCTGGGGTCAGCAGTGTAGCTCAGTAGGTTAAACCACTGCTTGAGATGTCAGCATCCCATATGAGTGCAAACCAGAATCCCAGTTTGAGTCCTGGGTGCTTTACTTGTGATCCAACTCCCTGCTAATGCACCTGGGAAAGCAGTGCAAATAGCCCACGTACATGGGCCTCTGCCACCCATGTGGGAGACCTGGATGGAGTTCCAGGCTCCTGGCTTCAGCCTGGGCCAGTCTTCAGCTGTTACGGCCAATTGAGGAGTGAACCAGATGATGGAAGACCTCTCTCTGTTTCACCCTCTCTCTCTGTAACTGTGCCTTTCAAATAAAATAAATCTTTTAAAAATGCCTAGTTCTGAAATTGTTTGTCATGTTGAATATACATTTATATACTGATACTTTTTAAAAATGATTTACTTATTTGAAAGGCAGAGACAAAAACAGAAAGAGAGCATGCCCATCCATTGGTTCACTCCCTAAATACCCACAATGGCAGGGGATAGAGAGGTCAAGCTAAAGCCAGGAGCTGGAAATTCAATCCCAGTTTCCCAAGTGAGTAACAGGGACACAACTACTTGAGCCATCGCCTACTGCCTCTCATGGTTTGCATTAGCAGAAAACTAGAACTGGGAGTGGAGCCAGGATTCCAACCCGAGTACTCTAATATGGTTAACCACCAGGCCAAACACCTGCCCCCTCATTATGCTAACAGTATATTTTGAGCACGCTGCTATAGATTTAAAAATTCCTCATAAACATTATTTTACTGAATGGAAACATGTCACCATTTTCTCCTTGCAGGCACTTGGTTTACTTCTGGAGGAGCCAGTGTTTGGCTCTGCAGCTAAGATGCTGCTTGGGATGCCTGCATCACAGGCCAGTGCTTGGTTTGAGTCCCGGGTCTGCTTCTGGTTCAGTTTCTTGCTAATGAACACCTGGGAAGATGTAGATGATGGTTTGAGTACTTGGGTCCCTGCCCCTCATGTGGACACCTATATTGAGTTCCAGGCTCCTGACGTTAGCCTGGCCCAGCCCTGGATGTTGTGGAATTTGGGAAGTGAATCAAGGATGGGAACTTCCTGTCTTTCAAATAAAAGAAAAAGAAAATTTTAAAATAATAACCTTTTGGGCATAGAATTTTTTTCTACCTCTAATTTCTCAGGATAGATTTGTAGTAGTGAAAATGCTGAGCTAGAGGACATTTTTGAGGACATTGATATGGATTGCTACTATTTCCTCAAAGGGCTGTACCAGTTTCACCTCTGTAAGAGTATGTGAGGGGTCTTCAGAAAGTTCACGGAAAATGCCTGTTATGAAAAAGCTTCAGATGGATTTCAAACCTTTTTGCACCAAAATAAATTCTTTTAATGACTTGAGCATATAGCTATGTTTTCATCAGAACGAAACAAAACTTGGTCAGTCTGAGCAATGTCTTGATGTTTGAAAGTTAAATAATGGAAAACGGCCTTTTAGTCACAAGTCCCCTTCAGAAAGAGAACCCACCTGGCAGTGCTGAGAGGAGCCGGCACACACACCACCGGCCTGCACCTGTGCACTCACAACAATGACAGAGCTAACCCACGCTACCCCAAGTCAGGAGGTCATTTTCCTGGAGGGACAATGACCAGAAGAGGACAGAAAAGGGACTTCTAAGAGATTAGGTTCTTTTTTTTTTTTTTTTTAAATCTGAGCACTCATGACAAAGATATATTCATCTAGCTGTCCCCCTACAGGATGGCCGTGCCTCTGTACACATGTTTTGTGTCCATAAAAAGTTATAAAAATACTCTGCCTACCTACCCAAGAGTTTGTTTTCCTACTCCAGTTATTCTGCCTCAAAATAGAACAAGAAGCATTGCCACGGCCAGATGAATTTTTATAGCTGAGGGGTGTGGGGAGCAACTGGGAGCAACTCGGACTAGACTAAGTTACTGGAATTAAGACTTATTCTATGCATCTGCTTTCCCACAATATGGCGCTGAGAAGGGAAACAGCTTCTACACAGCTGCCTCCAGTTCAACCAATAAACTGTGGGACCTGCTCCTGATTGGAGGAGAGCAGCGTACTCGGCGTGTGGGTAGCAGAGTTGGGATTGGTGGAAGAGGACTATAAAGGAGGAGAGAGACGGCATGCACGAGGAACATCTAAGGGGAACACCTGTGCAGCCCCGGAAAGAGCCGGCCGGCGGTGTGCCGCTCCCCCGCGGAAGTGGGGAATGTGGCAGGGGGAACCGCCCTTCCACGGAGGTGGAAGGGACGGCAGCCAACCCGGGAAGAACCAGCAGCAAACCCGGGAAGGGCCGAGCAGACAGAAGAACAGCGCAGGGTCCTGTGTCGTTCCTCCACGAAGACGGGGAGCGACATAATGGTGCCGTGACTCGGATATGAAGCCTAGGCAGGGTTCAGTGTCGTTCCTCCACGAAGAGGGGGAGCGACAGAGGGGATTTCATTTTCTGACGGAGTTTAACCAGGACCCAGGCCAGCGGTGCTGTGCAGCATTCTACCCCTGACTCCTTGGAAGGGCAGGATGCTCGGGGGGGTGGGAGCTCATGCCCTTTCCTGCCCTCAGGCCGGCTCTGGATGATTCCCTCTAAGTATTAATTACTTCCCAATTAGCAATTTAACTTGACACAGTGGGTCCTCTCTGTAATCACCCACCCAGAAGGTCACATGCCAGCTTTGCAAACGTCCTTGCAGATGCAGATGCCAGAGGGCACCAGACTCACCTGCACTGAACAAGCAGCAGAGAGAACACAGGGCTTCCCTTTCCACTGTAGCTGACACAGTGATCCCTGGCATAACACTGACCGCAAACTGACTTGCCACAGAGACAAAAGCAAGTTCACACAAGGTGCTAGAGTTCCCACAAGTAAGACAATCAGAGCTGCGGCTCACACCTTGGTATTTTTATCTTCAAAAGAGGAAGAAAACCCTTCTGATACTTCTGGTGATGGAAGCACTGACTCGCAGGTTAAGAGACATGAAGGCCTCCAGAAACGTAGTCCAAGCTGCGAACCAGGGCACGCTGCCCTTTAGAAAATGCTTTACTGGGACTGGCACTGTGGCATAGAGGGTGAGCTTCTGCCTGCGATGCCGGCATCCCATATAGGTGCCAGTTCCTGTCCCAGCTCCTCCTCTTCCCATCCAGCTCTTGCCATGGCCTGGGAAAGCAGTAGAAGATAACCCAAGTGCTTGGGTCCCTGCACCCACGTGGGAGACCTGGAAGATGCTCCTGGCTCCCAGCTTTGGATCGGCCCAGCTCCAGCTGTTGCAGCCATCTGGGGAGTGAACCAGCAAATGGAAGACCTCTCTGACTTTCCCTCTCTCTGTAACTCTGCCTCTCAAATAATATCTTAAAAAAAATAAAGGAAAGGAAAAGAAAAAAATGCTTTACTTCCCATGACCAGAAGGAGTTTTTCTCTTTTACAGACCAACCTGTGGCTCATGGAACTGGCATGAAACAAGAAGGTGCTCAGACCGCAAATGCCACTTCGCATTCTTCCTCCCTGGCTTCCTCTGTCTGACAAGGGCTCCCCACCTCTTCCAGGCACCAGTCTTGACTCAAGAAGTCAATTTCAGACTTCGCACTCGTCCCAGCCCTTCAAGTCCTTTACCAAATGTCTCCCATACCTGTGGCTTTCTCATCCTTGCCAAAGACACCTCCCTGCCCCACCCCAATCCATGCCCTGAGCCCTTGCATGGGTCCAGCTTTGGGCTTTTGCACACAGGGTGATGCCCATGCCTCCTGAAACAGGCTCTCCGATCAGTGAGTAACAGCCCCAGTAACAAAGGCTTCTAAGCCTTCTCCACTCTGCTCCATGGCCTCAAGAGCACAAGCCTACATGGTCCCAAGGTTCCTGCCCATTGTGTACTCTCATGTCCCAGGTACTCCACCAAGCACTAGGTGCTACTACAGTGGGATTTTGCAGATGCAATTCAAGTCCTAGCCAGTTGACCTGATGATCAGCAGATGATCCAGGTGGGCCTGACCTAACTAGGTGAGCCCTTAAAAGAGATGGTAGTATTCTCAGAAAGGCTTTCAATTTAAGTAAGATTCTCCACTGTTGGTTTTGAAGATGGAAGACACCAATTGGCAAGGATTGAGGGTGGCCACCGAGAGTGGACAGCAAGTCACACTGACAGCGACTAAGGAATTGGGGGACTCAGTCCCACAACCCCACAAACTCAGAAGAGGGCAGTGAGCCCCAGATGAGAACGTGGCCCAACCTTGATTTTGGGGAGATGCTGAGTAGGGAGGAGCCACACCATGCTCAGACTCGGATCTAGGCAACTAGGAGCTCATAGCAGGTGTTGCAAGCTGCTGAACCTCACCTATTCTTTACGGAGTAACAGAAAGCTCCTGCAGCCTCTCCACACGTGGCCTCTAGACGTCCTCAACACTCCGCCACACAGAGTGCTGAGAACTCAGATGTTCATGCCAACCTATGTGAGGGGGCTCCCTTCCCTATGCTTAATGAACACTAGCCAATCCCCATTGTCTTATACCAGAGGGAAAACAAGAGCAAAGGGGCAGCAGCATGGGGGAAGACTGACACTGCTGGCTGGGCCTGCACAGGTGCCTTCGAGGTCTCAATTTCCCTATCCATAAAATGCAGCGGTGTGGGCCCCCAGGTCGTTTCCAAGGGACCTTTTCCAAGTCCTTTTTGGATTAATGCCAGAACCGCTTTCTCCTCTAGCCTTCTGCACCTAGAAACCCAGCTTGCTTCCATTCTATTTTTTTTTTTTTTAAGATTTATTTATTTGAAAGGTAGAGTTACAGAGAGGCAGAGTCAGAGGGAGAGAGACAAATCTTCCATCCGCTGGCCACATCGACCAGAGCTGGGCTGATCCGAAGCCAAGAGCCAGGGGCTTCTTCCAGGTCTCCCACGCAGGTGCAGGGGCCTAAACACCTGGGCCATCTTTTACTGCTTTCCCAGGCCATGGCAGAGAGATGGACCAGAAGAGGAGCAGCTGGGAATTGAACCGGCGCTGATATGGGATGCCGGCACTGCAGGCAGCGGCTTTACCTGCTACGCCACAGCACCAGCCCCAACTTGCTTCCATTCTTAGCGACTACAGCAAATGACTCTTATCCCAGGATGATTCCCAGGATGCATCTCTCTCTGCCTCAGCTGACGGTAGGACAGAGGCTGGAAGAGACAGAACGTCCACTCTCCTGCCTGCAACACTCAGACAATTGGGCTGGCTCACCTCCAGCACGAAGTCCAGGGCTCTTCCCATGATATTCCAGTAGGAAAAAGAAAATAGAGACCATACGACTAATGGACATTTACCTAGGTTGACCAGTTAGCTCTCACAACAGTACCATACTCAAAGGCTAATGAGTCAAAACTTAAGGAAACTAGGTTGCTTAAAAGAACTGCACGTTATCCTCATTGTACAAGTAAAATTTGCTTGATTAGGCACACAGACTTTGACCTCTGGGTGCTTCAAGACCTGGTGTCATCCCTTTCCTATCCTTGTCCACTTGGCTGCAGATAGATCCTTCCCTGGATCTACCCCAGGCGGAACCCCGCTATCTCACTTCATGGCCCTATTAGAGTCTTCTCTAGAGACTGAGTTTCACTGCACTTGCTGAAAGAGATCATGAGCAGCTCCTGCACGTCCAGTTTACAGGCCTCTTCCTTCTCTGGAGACTTCCTCCCTGCTCCACAGGAAACGTCAAGGGTGGAGGGAGAAAGGACTTTTTATGCTGCGTTGATTTAAATAAAAAGTGGAGAATGGCATGGACGGAATGAATGGATGAATGCAGTGCAGACAGACTGGGATTGCTCTTTCTATAAAGTCCCTGTGCATCTTTATGAATTGTCATGGTGTTCATATGTGATAAAGGAACTAGCTTTCACTGCTACTGGATGAACCTGCAATACAAAGCCAGCACAAACTGCATTGACTTCTGCAAAGGCACCTAAAGGTCAGCCTCGCCCATCCCCACGCAGATGCACATTAATTATGCTTCCTCAAATGACAAGGGCAGGTGTTGGCTGACATCACTTCAAACCCAGCACATACCCAAATCTAGCAAATAAAAGCCGACGTCTTAAATGAGTTTGCAGACAAGCTTCAAGTCCACTTAGGACATAGACAGGATTTGACTTTTCACTCACAACAAACGTTAAATACTAAGGTGGAAGGATTTTGACTCCTCCATCATAATTCAAGAGCTAGCCATTTCTTTTGATGATAAAATTTCATTTACAAGGGGATCAACACATCGGAGCTATCACCAGAGCTCTTGTATCATGCCTTGCTAAACCGTCTGGTGGTAGGGACTGACCAGTCTCTGCTGGAGTTAATGCGAGAAAGGTCTGTCATGTGCATGACTGATACCCATGGGAGTCCCAGCACGCGTCACCTGGAAGCGAAAAGCTGGTCTCCGGCAGCTGAGACACCAGGGAGATACTCACCGTCGGTTCTCTCCACCATGACCGTGTGGCACACCGCAAGCAAGAAGAAGAACTGCCGCACTTCTGGTTCTTTGCCTGACTGGATTTGCTCAATAAGATAATGGTCGTGAAACACAAACTTCCCATCAGCAAATGTATTCCAGCTAAAATCAACTTGCTGAAAGAAAGGGAGAAGGGAAAGAAAGTGTGAGTTTTCAATGGATAATTCCAGCACAGCAATTGCTGTGAACTTTTCTTTAAAGCCAATTATGGAAAGTCACCCCAGGATTTTAGGACCTTCTTGATTTAACAGTAAAACAGCTTTCTTCTGTCTTAAACACCAAAGGTGCCATTTGGTTCATTGAATTGTGTGTCCCCAAGAGATCTGTTGAAGTCCTAACCTCTGGTACCTGCAAGTATGACCTTATTTGCAAATAGGGCCTTTGGAGATATAATCAAGGTAAACTGAGGACAAACTGGGCTGGACTGGATCCTAATCCAATGACTGGTGTCCTTATAAAGAGAGGGAAATGTGGTCACGGATACACACAGGGAGCAGGCCGTGTGACAGCAGCAGGGCAGGGACTGTGTCTGTCCATCTATAAGACACAAGGGTCTTTCTGAAGCCAAGAAATCTCAGGAGCATGGGCCTGCAGAGACCTCGACTTCCCCAGCATCCCCAGGAATTTTTTTTATTTATTTTTTTGACAGGCAGAGTGGACAGTGAGAGAGAGAGAGAGAAAGGTCTTCCTTTTTTTCCGTTGGTTCACCCCTCAATGGCCACTATGGCCAGCGCACCACGCTGATCCGAAGGCAGGAGCCAGGTGCTTATCCTGGTCTCCCATGGGGTACAGGGCCCAAGCACTTGGGCCATCCTCCACTGCACTCCCGGGCCACAGCAGAGAGCTGGCCTGGAAGAGGGGCAACCGGGACAGAATCCAGCGCCCCGACTGGGACTAGAACCCGGTGTGCCGGCGCCGCAGGCAGAGGATTAGCCTAGTGAGCTATGGCAGCGCCAGCCAGGAATTCTTGAACTTGAAGGACTTACCTCGATTTTGCTGTGGCTGTGCTGAGAAGCATCTCGATGGTCTCCTGGGGAGGAAACAGAACACAAACTGAGTCTCGCCGTGTGTCCTGAACCCCCCTCCTCAACTTCCCGGGGGGGTCACGACCCTTGTTTGGATGGTCCTGGAGTTAAGAATCATTTTTACATTTTTCAGGAGTTGTAAATGAAAGGGAGGAAGTAAGAATGTTTGACAGAGCGTGCATTGCAGAGGCTAAAATATTGACTCTGGGCTTGTTAAAGTTTGCTGACGTTCAAACACTGGTCCTTGTCCCTCTGGGGCCTGAGTCATGCCCTTTGAAATGCTGCCTTTATCCTCCTAACCAGAAGGGACGGCCAGCACCGGTGGGAGCCACCTCCTCCCACCCATCAGCGTCCTCACTGACGCACAGATGAACCTATAGCTTACAGTTTTCTCCAAGTGGAAACAACAAGTGCATGACTGCCTTTTTTTTTTCAAACATTGGATTGTCTTTATTTAAAAGTTAGGGTACTTGAATACAGCATCCGCTGCAATACTGTTTACAAAAGCACATTTCAGAAAATTTGGATGGAAATCATCTTTTTCAAAAACTGTGGAGAAACGCCCATAACATAAGTCACCACCATCACAGCCGTGGTGTCAGTGAGTGCGCTCACGCAGCTGTGCGCCATCTCCACCATCCAGCGCCAGAATTGATTGTATCTGGCACAAGTGAAACTCTGTGCCTAGGAAATAAGAACTTCCTCCTCCCTCTACCCCTCAGCCCCAGCCAGCGCCATCCTACTTTGCCTCTGTGGATGTGATGACACTAAGTACTTTGTATCAGTGGATTCACCAAACATTTGTCTGTGTTCCTGGCTTCCTGCCCGAACCCCCTGCCTCAGGGTTCACCTGGGTTGCAGCGTATGTCCATTTCTGCCTTTAAAGGAAGTGCATGCACACTCCACGGTCTGCAGACCGCGCTTACCCAGGAATGTTTATCCATTCAACTACTGAGGGACACCTGGGTTGCTTCCACCTTTTTTTCTTTTTTTTTTAAAGATTTATTTTACTTATTTGAAAGACAGAGTTACAGAGAGAGGTAGAGCCAGTGAGAGGTAGAGCCAGAGAGAGAGCCAGAGAGAGAGAGAGAGAGAGAGAGAGAGAGAGGTGTCTTCCATCTGCTGGTTTACTCCCCAAATGATGGCAACAGCCAAAGCTGAGCTGATACGAAACCAGGAGCCAGGAGCTTCTTCTGGGTCTGCCACGCTGATGCAGGGGCCCAAGGACTTGGGCCATCTTCCACTGCTTTCCCAGGCCACAGCAGAGAGCTGGATCAGAAGCGGAGCAGCTGGGTCTTGAACCAGCACCCATATGGGATGCCGGCACTGTAGGTATGGCTTTAACCCGCTGTGCCACAGCACCGGCCCCTTGTTTCCACCTTGTTGGCTTTTGTGAATAATGCTGCTATCAATATGGGTGCACAAATACCCGCGTCCCTGTTTCTAACTGTTTAGAGTGCATATCCAGAAGTGGGGAGTTACTAGATCAAATGGCAATTTGCTTTTTAATATTTGGAGGGCTGTGTGCTTGTTTCTGAGGCTGGGCCTCTCTTATGCACGTATGCATGAGGCTGCGCACAGTGCTGCTTCGGCATTCGCCGGGGAATGGCCGCCCGCAGCAGGACTCGGCACGGAAGGAGGACACCGATGGCTGCCTGCACACAGCCAGCCGCCCACGGGCACCCAGGGAGCGAGGGACAGCGTTCACTCACCGTAGATCTGCCCGTTGATGCAGCACTTCTTGAAGGTCATGATGTTCTGCGTGAGGGTGCCGGTTTTGTCTGAGAAGACGTAGTGGATCTGCCCGAGCTGCTCGTTCAGCGTGGTGGTTCTGGCCTTGGCGGGGGTGTCCTTCTCAGCATAGTACATCTGCAGGTCCCAGTTGATGAAGTGACTCTGGCCAAGGCGAATGATTTCCACGCTAGGAAGAGAAAGGGTTCCTTTCCAGACAGTGCTCAGATGTGAGTGGCTGGAAGTGGGTCTTAGCCTCACCTCTGCCTACAGGGACAAGCTGCTGTCCTCTGCCATGGTCTGAGCACCAGTGTCTCCCCCAAGTTCAAGTTGAAACCTGATCGCCCAGGTAGCAAGACTGAGGTGGGGCCCTGTGGAAGTGACCAGGTCCTAAAGGCTGGTGGGATGTGTGCCTTTTGAGCGCAGGCGCCAGAGAGCTCGCCCAGCGCTGCTGCAGTGGCCAGTGCAGCAAGCAAGCCCTCACCACACACTGCACCTGCTGCTGCTTCTACATGGGACTTCCAGCCTCTGGAACCATGAGCAACAGATCTGAGCTGCCCATACGTTACGCAGTGTAAGGTGCGGTGTCCCAGCAGCCTGAAAGCACCCTGTGCAATTAATTTTTATGCTCAGTGCTGGGTTCCTCAGGGAGCTCCCATTCAAAACAGCAGCACGTGGTGCTCCCTACTCCCTATCACGTCCTCCCTACTCCCTATCACATCCTCCCTACTCCCTATCACGTCCAGAGACCCCCAGCATGGTCGAGTCTACCTTTGCCCCAGTTGCAGTACCCAGGGGCTACAGACCCCGTGAGCTGTCAGATAAGGCAAAGGGGCTTTGGGCAATGAAGTCATGCCTCGTGGTCCCCCACACTGTGAGAAAGCATTTTTTCCCTCGAATCTTTATCATCTTATAAATTATCCAAAAGGAGACAGCCTAAAGGATCATCTTGGCTTTATAACTATAGGGATTTAAATATATTTCGGCTGTGAGGAAGCTATTTACACAACTAGCAACTGTTAAGTGGCCCAGGGATGTCTTTATCACAAGTTAAACTGATGGAAAAATTACTCTTGTCCTTTCTGCCTTCCAAAGAGATTTCCCAAGTGCCTACAATGTAGCAGACGTCACTGAACAAGACAGACTCTCTGCACAGAAGGAGGCTGCCTTGCGAGTGGAAGCAGGAACAGAAAACCCAGTAAACAGGTACCACCTCAGATGGGGGAAGGTCTCATGGAAGATCAAACCAGGGCAGGGGGATGGAGACCAGCAGGAGAAACAGTGACGGTTCAGACACAGGTAGAGCGAGCCAGAAGCGGCCAGGGGAATACAGTGATATCTGAGCAGCGCGTGGGTGCTTAGGGAAGAATGTGCCGGGCAGAGGGGCATGCAGTGGCAGGAGACCTGGACAGGGGTGGGCGTGTGGGAGCTGGGCTCAGGGTAGAAGGTTGCACACCACATCCTGGGCCTGGCTGTATGGTCTCCAGGAGTTTTCTCTGAATGGGACAGAGAAGTCACTATGGGGTTTCTGACAAAGCAGAAGTAGTATCTGGAATGACTTGATCTGACCCAGGCTTTACAAGGATCTTTAGGGGTAGGCACTTGGTGCAGAGTTGAATCACAGCTTCGGAGGCCCACATCCCATCCTGGAGTGCCTGGTTCCAGTCCTGGCTACTCCGCTTCCCATCTAGCTTCCTGCTAATGCACACTTAAGGAGGCAGCAGGTGAGGGCTCAAATGCTTGGGCTCCAGCAACCCACATGGAGACCGGGCTGCAGTTTCTGGCTCCTGGCTCCTGGCTCCAGGCTGGCTCAGCCCTGGCTGTTGGAGGCATTTGGAGAGTGAACCAGTAGACAGAAGATCTGTTTATGTCTCTGCCTTTCAAATCAAATGAGAATAAATAACATTATTTTTTAAAGCTAGGGAAAAACACCCTAAGTAAATTTATAACATTTTCAAAGAACACAAAATAAAAGGGCATTTCCAGGAGAAATAAGAGAATTGCATTAGTCCTTTGTCTGTTTTTAAGACTCCAAACTGTACACACAATTTATTCTACAACACACATCGATAGTTTTTAACAAAATAAGCAGTGTGGTAAATGGCTCCTTGGGCAAAGGTAGTGCTGGCCTCAGATGTCTGCCCAGGCTTCCCTTCCCGTCTAAACAACAACAGTAACTACCTGTAATAAAATTAAAAATTAAACAAACGCACACATAATAAAATTAAATGCAGTAACTGCTGCTAATTGCAGGTGTGTGCGTGTGAGATCCCATGTCTCTGGGCTACTCTTATGGGCGCTCAGAACTGCCTGTGGCTGCTGAGGTGAACCCAGGGGAATATCCCTCTCCTAGCAGGCAGCCTGCAATCCAAGTGATCAGTGACAGTGAACTTGGATCTGAAAGGAAGAAGAATCGAAAACAAGGGCACCCGACCCTTGCTCTCCTGCTGTGACTGAGTCGGAGGCCAGGAAGCCCTGCAGTAGTTACAAGCCGCCTGGGCGTGGCAGGCAGGCTCCTGAACAGGAAAAGTAAGTTCTTTCCCGACAGTCTACATCTTCACCTGACCTTTGACCTCTGAACCTTGGCAGCCTTATCTATGCAGACACTAGGACGGATGGTGCCTGGCACGGGGTAGTTACTCAATGTTCCCCTCGTGTGCCTCTATTACCCTCCACTCTGAAGTGAAAATCACCTTCTAACTTGTTCCTGATGACTCTTGAAATGTCGCTGCTAGAAACAAAGGGGCTAAGTTGGTAAAATGGACTACATTCTTCCCTGAAGGCAAAAGGTCAGAGAAAGGGCAGCCTTACCTGACATACAGGGAGATGGGCACCATGGTGTTAAGCACGATGATGTAGCCCCAGAAATTCAGGAACCCGCGGTAGGAGGGTGTAGCATTTTCCCCATCATAGAGGTACCATGAATAATTGCCGACTTGGGCTTCCCAATAGGCATGGCCGATAGCCAGACCAGCAGAAAGCAGGATGAGAACAACAAAGATCTAGAAGACATAAAACACTCAGAGCTATGCATTTCATAGATGCTAATATCCTCACTCAATATTTTACATGTTATAATTTAGTGGTCTGTAAAAATATTATACTTAACATAAAAACAATGCCTTCAAAATGCTTTGCAAGTTCCTATGATTGACTGATTTATCCTACATCACACACACAACATAAGGTTTTATCCCCGAAATTATCTTTCAAAAGAGAAAGTGGTGTCTTACATTCAAATTCTTATGGACTAGCACACAATAGGGTATTTTCTCTACTGGTTTTACTTTGCACACTAACACACTATTGGGAAGGATACCTTACCATCACAGGAAACAATTCCTAGTGATGCTAAATTGGGATGCTTACAGAAGATGTTTAATGCAAATAGCTTTCCAAAAAGAAGGCAGGGAAATTTCACTTGTATTTGGGTAATTATTCCTGAAGGTACAAAATGCTTAAAGAAGCAGGAAGGTAAATATTATGTTATGGAAATTAGGAATAAATATTTATAGAAGGAATAAAAAAAGTCAGCTGTCCTAGTGGTATTTGTTATTTGGAAATAAAATTCCAGCAACAAATTTAAGTTTCTGGACACAGATTCCAAAAGTGCATATTTGGCACAGAAGAGGGACAAGGGGGCTGTTTGCGAGGACTCCAGTCACGACCATGACGATGACACCACAGATGAATGTGCAAAGTTCAATAAAATTCTTATGAAATGTGAAAGCAGATGGATAAAAAGATGTTTCTGAAATGAATCGCTTGCTTATATATGATTCCAAATACATACACACAACTAAGGAGTTGGAACTGCCACAATTCCCTAAGGTTCAATGCATGCAAATGGAATTAAATATTTAGAAAATGCAGTTTTCATTAGGAAGTGGAGAGACCGCAGACAATCGGGGCCACCTGTGTGTGGGAGCAAAAGCAGCGGGCCTGACAGCACTGTCCTTACAGGACCTGCTTGGGAGGCCCGTCCTTGGCCGGTTCCTGGAAACCCAGATTTGGGGAGAGTTTCTGGTTCCTTATTTCTTATTCTCTGCTAAGAGTGGCTCACTGTGCCTCACTTGGTGCAAACAACATGGCTTACGGAGACCACCTGCACTCCTTTGGGGGGTCTGGAATTGTGGTGCCTGCCAGGCAGATGGTGCCTGTGTGACCAGCCCCCACTGAAAGCTCCCAGGGGTCGAGTCCCTTCTGAGCATCCTTGGCTGATGGTATTTCACACGGGCTGGGGAAACTTGGGTGCGACTCCACCAGGAGAGAACTGAAAGCTTGTGGACCTTGCCCGTCATGTCTTCTGCTGATTCTGCTTTTATCCTCTGGCTGAATAAGTCATAGCTGTGTGTACGATCACATGCTGAGTACAATGAGTTTTCCTGCTCAATCATTGAACCCCAGGGATGGTCTCGGGGACCCCCGCTATACCTTATGCTTAGCCTTGCTGTATATTTGGTTTATACAGTGTATGTTGGGCAAAAATAATTGCTTTTAAGACAACTACCCCTATGAGAAACTAACATCAATCAAATCAAGAGTCCAGCCCCACTATTACCAGGTCACTCTCTCCAGCCATCAAAAGTACCTAGGGCCACAGCCTACAAATGAAATTTTCCTTCTCCGAAGAGCAGTACTTTTCTATCCCATCTTAGAGGGAAGATCTCTTTGCATTATGAAAACATACAACAAAATTAGAGCGACAGCAGTCTAGCCTCTTAAAAAGGGAAAATAAACAAATACCGTGTAAACCATGTAGTTCATCAAGTAATCAATTTTAGTCCTTTTAAATCTGGTCTTCCCACTATTCTTCATTATCTTGGTGTCAGCACCTAAAAATGGAAAATTCAGTGTGATAGCAGTTGGGAAGTCAGTTCGCCAGCAGGTCAGTAAAGCTGCTCTTTCTTTGGTTTCAGTGGAGAAAATTCAGAAAAGCAATCCCTTCCCTACCATCCGCTTAAATGCTGCTGGCAGATCCATTTCCCAAAAAGATCGGAAAGTACCTGCAAAAATGACCAATCCGTGGGCAACGTCCGTGTTCCTGATGACACAGCCACGTAGCAAAATTTTATCCGCATCCAAAGGAAAACTGGTTTTTCTCCAGAACAGTGTTCCTGTGAACTTATCCAGCCGGTTATTGGGTTCTTCACATTCAATAAAACCTTTGAAAAAAAAAAAATGCGATTCACATAATCAATCGCATGGAATCTTTCTGGCTTTAATCAAATAGGGACAAGATCAAACAGCTGCAATTCAAAACAGAGCTAGGGGTGTTTTATACAAACCATCAAATGTTGCCAATGTATCTTCTCTTTGGAGGTACTGGTCTGTGATTTCAAGTGCCATTTTGAACTTTAAATTGGTTTCCCTAAAGGAAGAGGAAAGAAAAATTAAATGAGCAAATTTTGGAGTTTAAGTTGGAACACAGGAGCAGGCACTGTAGCACAGTGGGCTGATCAACCACTTGGGACACCCACAAGGGTGCCTGGGATGGAGTCTGGACTCCACTTCTGATCCAACGTCCTGCTAATGTGCCCGGAAGGCAGCAGGGATGGCCTACATACTCGGGTTCCTGATAGCCATGGAAGAGACCTGCATGGGCTTCTGGGTTCCTGGCTTCAGCCCTGGTATTGTGGGCATTTAGGGAGTGAACCAGCAGATGGGAAATCTCTCTCTGCACGTGTGCGCGTGCGTGTGTGTGTGTGTGTGTCTTACTAATAAATAAATAAAACTTTTAAATAAAAGGAGTATAAAGGAACTCACACAAAGTAACATTAGGTATATCTGAAATTCAAGTCTTTAAAAATTAGCTTTTTCTATTTTCAAACTCCGTTCACCTTGGAACTATAGGTTTGGATGAATTTATCTCCTGAACTAGGAAAAAAATCCCTGAATGGGAGATGTCAGTGCCCTCTGCTGTTGACTACTGTGACAGTAGGGACGGGCCACCCACGGGCCTCCTCCCCACTGGCACCCTACCCCAACTGGAGCTACCAAGCCAATATTTGGAAATACACCTTTTTAAAATTTTTTTTATTTTATTTTTGACAGGCAGAGTGGACAGTGAGAGAGAAAGACAGAGAGAAAGGTCTTCCTTTTTTCCGTTGGTTCACCCTCCAATGGCTGGCACACCGTGCTGATCCGAAGCCAGGAGCCAGGTGCTTCTCCTGGTCTCCCATGCGGGTACATGGCCCAAGCACTTGGGCCATCCTCCACTGCCCTCCTGGGCCACAGCAGAGAGCTGGCCTGGAAGAGGGGCAACCGGGACAGAATCCGGCGCCCCGACCGGAACTAGAACCCGGGGTGCCGGTGCCGCAGGCAGAGGATTAGTCTATTGATTTGCGGCACCAGCCAGAAATACACCTTCTAATGTTTAATCACTAAAATGATTCTATAAGACATATTTAATACAGGCATTCTGTTTTGCCTATTGTCAACTTATTATTTTCCAGTGCAAACAACAGGATCTCGGGTCTGAAAGACAATTTTATGGGACTGGCACTGTGGTGTAGCAGGAAAAGGTGCAGCCCGCAGTACCGGCATCCAATACAGGTGCCAGTTGTGTCCCAGTTGTTCCACTTCCAATCTAGCTCCTTGCTAATGCACCTGAGAAAGCAGCAGAAGACGGCCCAAGTCCTTGGGCCCCTGCACCCATGTGGGAGAACTGGAAGAAGCTCTTGGTTCCTGGCTTTGGGTTGGCCCAGCTCTGGCCATTGTGGCCGTTTGGGGAGTGAATCAGCAGATGGAAGATCTGTCTCTCTCACTGCAACTCTGTCTTATAAATAATCTTTTTTTTTTTTTTTAAAGATGATTCTATTTGGGAAGGAAGTGGCAGCTTCAGCCCTGGTATGTGGCATGGCTCAGCCACCTGTGCTGGGCATGCAGGGGCAGGCAGGGACACACTCTCCCAAGGACAGCCTTTGACAGGCTCCACAAACACCCACTCGGGAAGTCCCATGATCTGAGGAGTTCTGACAGGCATGTGAGGATTTCCTATCTTTGTGAAGCCACAGACTGTCTCACTGATGGCAATGATAGCTGTCTTATACTTGAGATCGAGTCATCAGCAGGTGGCTCCCTAGGCAGGCAAGACCTTGCTTTCACCTACATGGTTTCAGCTGTCTGCCCAGCAGCAGGTGCAAGTGTGGCGTGCAGGAAGCAGAACAGGGAGCAGGGTCCTGCCCGCCTCTTACTGGGGATCGTGGGCAGGCAGCTGCACCTGCAGGGCGCCCTCTCCTCCTGGGCCATGTTGAGGTAGAAACAACACTTGCTGCATGATATTTTCAGAAGATTTAAATAAACTAACACGTAAAGGGTCTACCATTTCAGAAGCACTCAATCGATGTGTTGAGAACTGGTCAAAACCAGAATCTTATCCTTGCTTTGCCGGTAGCATAATAACCAAAACCAACAAAGAAACAATGTAAAATTGCCTACTGGCAAAGACCTGAAAATCTGCTCTGTTCTGTGAAGCAGACAATAGGATCGTCAGTCATTCTTGCTGCTTTGTAGTTATTCCAAGTGGTTTGGAGCAGGCTCCAGCCTACACCCTCCTGATTGATCTTGCACCTTCCCAGAGAGGCGCAGAAAGGCAAGCTTAAGCACTCCCTGTGATGGAAGGGGAAGTCAGTCACCCAGACACCACTGGGCAGCCGCCAGGGGGCAGAGGCAAGGGTGGATCTCAGGGCTTCTTGTCTGGAGTGAGCAGATTTCAACATCATGAATGCTCCTACAAAGGCCGGCTTTCAAACGGGCTTTCAGAGACACACTCACCCGTCCAGTTCCGCTGTTTCCACGTAGCAGAGGCTGTTGGGCTCAGAGCTGGACAGCAGCAGAATGTCAGCCTGTGCAAGACAGAACACACCAGTAACACAGAGACCCCTGGGGCCAGCCGGGCACGGGGCCAGCCGGGCACTGGGCCAGGGGGAGGACGAGGAGTGGAAGAGGTGGCGCTTGTGCACTTACGGGAACAAAATCATTCTTTTTCAGGCGGATGACGTCTCCAACTTGAATATCTTTCCACTTGGCAACTTTGAACCTAAGTATTACAAGTAATAATAGTTGTTTGGTTTTTAAAAGCATTTATTTATTTTCATCTACTTGAAAGGTAGAGTCACACACACACACACACACACACAGATTGATTGGTTCACTTTTCTGGCTCACTCCCCAAATGTCTGCAGCAGCCAAGGCTGGGCCAAGCTGAAACCAGGAGCCCGGAACTCCATCCAGGTCTCCCATGTGGGTGGCAGAAGATCGAACGCTTGAGCCATAATCTGCATTAGTAGGAAGTTGAATTGGAAGTGGAGTAGCCGGGACTCAAACCGGGCACTCCAATATGGGAGTAGGTTAAGCTATGCCTTAACCTACAATGCCCACCCCTTGAATGTTTTTCTAAGTTACAGGTCAGAGAATGATTGTTCTTTATGGTTGTCAAAGATTCTGGAAAATGTGTAAGTCACAGGGAAAAATTTGCTCTAAGTTCACTGTTTTTCCTTTTAATAATGGAACTTTATTAAGTGGTTATAATAATCATAATTTCTGGGGCCAGCACTGTGGCATAGTGGGTAAAGCTGCTGCCTGCAGTGCCAGCATCTCACATGGGCACCGATTGGAGTCCCAGCTGCTCCACTTCCTATCCAGCTCTCTCCTACGGCCTGGGAAATCAGTAGAAGATGGCCCAAGTCCTTGGACCCCTGCACCTATGTGAGAGACCCAGAAGAAGCTCCTGGCTCCTGGTTTTGAATCAACACAGCTCCAGCTATTACAGCAAACCGGGGAGTGAACTAGCAGATGGAAGACCTCTCTCTCTCTCTGCCTCTCCTCTCTTTGTAATTCTGACTTTCAAATAAATAATATTTTACAAAAAAGAATCATGATTCCTTAGCAACAATGACAGCAATGATATTTAAAAAGGTGTTTTTTTGGGCCGGCGCCGCGGCTCACTAGGCTAATCCTCCGCCTAGCGGCGCCGGCACACCGGGTTCTAGTCCCGGTCGGGGCGCCGGATTCTGTCCCGGTTGCCCCTCTTCCAGGCCAGCTCTCTGCTGTGGCCAGGGAGTGCAGTGGAGGATGGCCCAGGTGCTTGGGCCCTGCACCCCATGGGAGACCAGGAAAAGCACCAGGCTCCTGGCTCCTGCCATCGGATCAGCGCGGTGCGCCGGCCGCAGCGCACCGGCCGCGGCGGCCATTGGAGGGTGAACCAACGGCAAAGGAAGACCTTTCTCTCTGTCTCTCTCTCTCACTGTCCACTCTGCCTGTCAAAAATAAAAAAAAAAATAAAAAAAAATTAAAAAAAAAGGTGTGTTTTTTTTTTTCAATTGACACACAATATGAGAAAACTTCAAAAACTTTACGGAAAACAGAATTAAAAGATGTTTACTGGGACCAGTGCTGTGATTTACCGAGTAAAGCTGCCTCCTGCTGCGCAAGCACCCCCCCTCCCCCCATAAGGGCGCTGGTTCGTGTCTCAGTTGCTCCACTTCGGGTCCAGCTCCCTGCTAATGTGCCTGAGAAAGCAGTGGAAGATGGCCCAAGAGCTAGGGCCCCTGCACCCGTGTAAGAGACCTGGAAGAAGCTCCTGGCTCTTGCCTTTGGATAGACACAGCTCTGGCCATTTGGGGAGTGAATCAGCAGATGGAAGATCTGCCTTTCTCTTTAAATTCCAAATAAATAAATTAATTTTATTCGGGAAGGAAGTGGCAGCCTCAGCCCTGGTATGTGGCATGGCTCAGCCACTGTGCTGGGCATGCAGGGGCAGGCAGGGACACACTCTCCCAAGGACGGCCTTTGACAGGCCCCACAAACACCCACTCGGGAAGTCCCATGAACTGGGGAGTTGGCCTGTGGTTCAAGTTCACTGTTCTGTTCTGACAGGCTCCTGGCTTCAGCCTGGCCCAGCTCTGGCCATTGCAACCATCTGGGGAGTGAACCAGCAGATGGAAGACCTCTCTCTGTGTCTCTTCTCCTATCTCTAGCTCTGACTTTCAAATAAATAAATAAAATCTAAGCAAAAATACAGGTTTATTTTAGTGCAAAAAATTTGAAATGCATGCATTGTAGTGTTCTCAAAAAGTTCATAGAAAAATGCATGTTATGAAAAAAACTATGTTTGGATTTCAAATTTTGTTGTACCAAAATTAATGTTATCTTAATTCCATTTGTCTCCCATTCATTTATGAACAAAATAGATTTAAAATATCTGCTTGTGCTCCAGTTTCTCCTATAAGAATTTAGCACACAATTCTGAACCCCAGGATTAAAAAAAATTGGCTTATTTTTTCAATAAAAGACATTGTAGCTGTTTTGCATTTCAGTACCTCTAAAATTGTCAATTAGGAATTTGTGCGTGAGTTTCACATTGCAAATGGATGAGTCAACCCTTTCTCGTCATAGCTTTTTGGGGGTACTGTGACATTCCAACGTCCCTGAGAAGGTCCTCTGTGTCCTGCCCCACTGATGGCCAAGCTCTAAATGGTCTGATCCACCATAGGGTTGCTGGGGCCACAGCCCTGCGGGACATGGACCCCAACTCCCAAATCCAAGGCAACTCAAACCAGTCTTCTTTGGCTAGGTCAGCCACTTGGAGGCTAAACCGAGCCTCCCACCACCAGTCACAGTGTTGAGTAAATGAGAGGAAAGTGGCCTCTGGAATAGAAGCCATTCACCTGCAAGGGAAAAAGCCTTGCAAATAGATATTTATAGGTTGGTGCCATTTATTTATGCATTAGACACTGGGGGAAGTGTGACAGTAAATCAGGTTATTTTCCTTTGTGTTGACATTTCAAAAGTGTTTGAATTGGGTTTTAGTCATTTTCAGCACCTGAGTTTGCAGTTTGACCTTGAAGCTTTTGCTCAAAAATGCACTCATTACTGATGACTGAGCTGGTACTTTGCTCACAATTGACATTAATTTCACACATTCATTAAGCATTTTCTGCACGAGGAATGCAGAATAGTGCCCGTGAGACACCCACACAGATGATTCTAATAAAATGCACATCAAAATAAAAAAGACGAGAGGGGCCAGTGCTGTGGCATAGCGGGTAAAGCTGCCACCTACAGTGCCAGCATCCCGTATGGGCTCCAGTTCAAGTCCTGGCTGCTCCTCTTCTGATCCAGCTCTCTGCTATGGCCTGGGAAAGCAGCAAAAGATGGCCCAAGTGCTTGGGCCCTTGCACCTGCATGGGAAGACCCAGAGGAAGCTCCTGGCTCCTGGCTTCAGATTGGCACAGCTCTGGCTGTTGTGGCCAATTGGGGAGTGAACCAGCAGATGGAAGACCTCTGTCTCTCTCTGCCTCTCCTCTCTCTGTGTAACTCTGACTTTCAAATAAATAAATCTTAAAAAAAAAGAGAGAGAGAGAAAATTCCTCTGAAAATGCAGGGAATAGCTGGAGCACTGGGGAGGTGTCTAAACATAGAGTAGCCCCCCAATCCATGGGGAGACACCCCAAGGCCCCCCTGTGGATGCCTGGAAACACAGTACTAAACCTGTAGTTTTGGGTCTGTCCTACACATACATATCTATAAAAAAGCTTAATTTATAAATTTGGCACAGTACAGACTACTAATAACTAATGATAATAGAACAATTTTAACAATACACTCTAACACAAGTTACGTGAATATGGTCTCTCTCTGAAAATATCTTTTTGTACTGTCTTCACCGCTCTTGGGTTGATGGGAGATAACCTCCCGTGGAAGCCCTCCACAGGTTTTCTTTCTCATACAGGAGTTGCCTTATCACTACTCTCGTGCCTTGGGGCCATGATGAGCAAAGTTAGGGCGACTGGAGCACAAAAACTCTGATTCCAGGAAGGTTCACCTGATAACCAAGGTAGTCACAGAATGACTAATGGGTGGGTAGTGTATACAGTGGATACATGAAAAAAGGGATGAGTCACTTTGCTCATGGGGTGGAGAGGGACAGAGCGAGAGTTCATCACGCTACTGACAATGGCACCCAGATTAAAATTATGAATGAATTCTGGAATATTCCCTTGAATATTTTTGGACCAGACTTGACCATGAGTAACTGAAACCATAGAAGGCAAAACTGCAGATAAGACCAAAGCAAAGCTCTGAGGCGGCTAAGTTTGGGAATGGCAAAGATAAGAGCGACACATTAGAGGGTGATGGGCATTGTGTAGACGTCAGATGTGCTGATAACACAGAGTGCAATCAGGCAACCAGCTAGCATCCAATGTGGGTAGGGCATCAGAACCACCAAGGGGAGGCACTGTCTCTGCACGGAAACCCTTTGTAATGAAAAAGTTATGTACTGGTAGACTTCTAACAGTTGTCTCTCAGTATGTTTCTAGACATTTCTGCAATATACCTATTTCCCTGTACTTGAGTTACAGATTAAAGGCACAGTACCTGCCATCCTTAATGACTTCACACGTCCGATTGTTGATCTCCTTATCCATTTTATGGCGAGCCTTTAGAAAGGAGATGAGGAGATGGTGTTTACTCATCTTGCTGTGTAAGATATTGATGCCAACCTAAAGCAAGCTCCAAGTAGTGCGTAGGAAGTGGCATGCGAAATCCTTACCACATCGTCCACCAGGTCTTTGATTGCCGTGATGCCCAGCACCAGAAGCAGGGGCACGAGTGTAGTGTACCATGCCAGGGTAGAGATTTGAGGAATTGCCTAAGAGAAAGAAAAAGGCATATATATATATATATATATATATATATATACACACATCCACAGCTGTTTACTTAAACTCGTTCATTCTAAGTCTAACCCACCAAGTCTACAGCCCACAGGTCCTGAAGGAAAAGGCATTTAAGCACACAATCGACCTCCTTCTGGTGTCTCTGTCTAGCTCCCGGCCACCTGGAACACAGCCCAGAGGACGGTGGCTCCTGAAACTGTCTCATTACAACCTCTGTTCTAAGCTCTTTATGACAATCATCATTAGCTAAGAATGCCTGAGGGGGGATTAATCCTTTAACTTCTATGCAGTGCATCTACACTGTGGGTGGCTCAGCCAGTGGTTTCTGGGGGACCCACGATGGAGGCAAGGCCGGCAGTAGGCAGTGACTGCCTCTGAAAGCTAGCAACCAGGTAGGGCATCTTGGGGGCACTGGAAGAAGGTGCTTCCTTTCGGGGCATTGCTATTGGCACAGCCAAGAAAGGGGCTGGCCCTACGGGAAGCCTCAGCTCCATCAAGACAGCCTCCTGATTTGAATGGGAAATTGAAAAGCTTAATAAAGATTTCATGTAACCATTCTGACGGATCACCTCGTCACATAATGTAGTGGCTAAATGATAGGTTTTGGAATCAAACTCCTGGATGCAAGTCTTGCCTAGCTCTGCCACCTACAGGTGCTGTGACTTTACCCAAGGCATGGCCCCTCACTGGGCCTCAGTTCTCCTCTGCAGAATGGAAGGTATGCAGTGCTACCTACTACCTACCTTGTAGGGTTCAAGAATTAAGTGAAATGATAATTCAGGTCAAGGACTGCCTGGGGTCATCACTATGACCCTGATTTGGATTGCCGCACCTTACGAGAAGAGAAGTGCGATGCTGTTAGGGGACAGACAGCTCACTGCCCACAACACTGTGACTGTGTGGAAGTAAGGGACAAGGAGCCCACACACCTCTCAGCAGTACCTCATAATCCTCACATGCCCGTCAAAATGCCCCTGCTGGTGACAGGACTATCCTCTCTACTGTCAAGTCAGCAGGGAGTTTTTTTCTAAAAAAAAAAAAAAAAAATTTGACAGAGCAAGAGAGAGAGAGAGATGGAGAGAGAGAGAGAGAGAGAGAGAGAGAGAGAGAGAGAGAGAACGCTCCCCGATCTGTTGGCTCACTCCCAAAATGCCCACAATGGTCGGGATTGGGCCAGTTTTCCTATATGGGTGGGAGGAACCCAACACGGGGGCCATCACTGCTACCTCCTAGTCTACATTAGCAGCACGCTGGAGTCGGGAGTCAGAGACGGGAATCAAAGCCAGGTACTCTGATGCGGGATGCAGGTGTTGGAACTGCAGGTCTTGAACGCTACCAAGGCCGTTAGGTGTCTACTGTCCAGTGTCTTCTCTCCCACTTCCCTCCACCACTCCAGATATCCTCCATCCCCACCCAGACACACACGGTACCATTTTCATAAGCATTAAGGTTATACCTGCAGGTGGGTCTATCTTCCAAATCCTATGCTTGATGTAAAGAATCTGATGGGGCTGGCGCCGCGGCTCACTAGGCTAATCCTCCGCCTGCAGCGCCGGCACACCGGATTCTAGTCCCGGTCAGGGCACCAGATTCTGTCCCGGTTGTTCCTCTTCCAGTCCAGCTTTCTGCTGTGGCCTGGGAGTGCAGTGGAGGATGGCCCAGGTCCTTGGGCCCTGCACCCACATGGGAGACCAGGAGAAGCACCTGGCTCCTGGCTTTGGATCAGCGCAGCACGCCAGCTGCAACATGCCGGCCGTAGCGGCCACTTGGGGGGGTGAACCAGTGGAAAAAGGAAGACCTTTCTCTATTTCTCTCTCTGTCTAACTCTGCCTGTCAAAAAAAAAAAAAAAAAAGAATCTGATGGAGCAAAGTGGATCAGTACATATCTGATCTGCATATCAGTACAAAGTGTGGACCCTGAGCACTAATTAGGGCAATGTTTCCTATGCAGATGAAAGCCATACTCTCCAGATAAGTAAATCCTTTACCACAATAAGAAAAACACTCAGGAAAAGTAGGCCTTTTCCAATGTAAAACAGCTCACCAAAACATCAAGAAAAATGAACAATATTCTTGCAGAAATTAGGCATCTAAGTACAAATGTGAAGGAAATCACCAAAGTCAGGTTTAATTTATGATGCACGTATTTTACAAATATAATTGAAGATTTCAATTTTATTCAGTTCAAAAATACCAGTTTTAATACTCACACCAGTACAAGTATGAAATTGAGTTGAAAATATATAGACTCAGAATTTATTTCCATTCCCCCCCTTTCCCTGTTCATCTAACACTGGCTGAGCTGGTCCTGCACACCTACAGACCCTGCTGTCCACAGAAACACTTCCAAGGTCATGCATCTTCCTTATGCCCACAACTCCCCTGTTAGGGAGCCATCATAATTCACGACAGATTTAAGATAGCAAAGGGCATTACCTGTAAGATAAGAAGGATCAGGAAATAGAAATTGGCTGCTCGCTTAAACTGTTCAAACAAATTCATTGGTAGGAAGGTCAGTGCGTTGTACTTGTATGTTTTAATTGCATTATTCTGTTGGAAAAAGCAAAAACATCACGCATCAATGTCACCCGGTTATGCCAACGTCCACACTTCTGCAAAAATCACTACACCCCATGGCCCACAGCACAGGGACCTAATCTGTCCGTCAGAAAGATGCTGAGGTTTCTTCTAAGCTCTTCATCCCATCCAGTCTTCAAAGTGACTGCTGGAGAGTCTCACGTCAGACAGTAACAGGATACAGGCATGAGGCCGTGACTACGTGGCCACTGCTGTCGGTGCCTCAATCCATCAGAATCTCTTGGAAAACAGGGCAAAGGTAGCTGTCACTATGAGCAAAGCAGGGACAGGGGCACTTTTACTTAAGGAAGGATGAGTGCTACCATGTAAGAAACAGTAAGACATTGCTGTGAGTCCAACTGTGTCCTCCCAAAGACAGGGTCAGTTGACCTGCGCATGGGACCTTGTTTGGAAATAGGGCCTTTGAGATATAATCAAGGTGAAGTCGTGCTGGATTCCAGTGAATCCTAACCTAGTGGTTAGTGTCCTTGCAGAAGGGGAAGGTGGACCCAGACACACACAGGGAGGAGGCCATGTGAAGAAATGGGAGTGACGTGTGTTCAAGCCAAAGACTGCTGGCCACCAAGGGGCTGGAGGAGAGGCATGACCCCAGGAGGAGCCAACCCTGCTGCCACCTTGGTTTCAGATTTCCAGGCCCCTGAACTGTGAAGGAGTAGATGTCTGTTGTTTTATGTCATGCCTTGTTTCAGTAGCTCAAGGGAATTAACGCTGAAGCCCACACTTACGAGGGATTCTTTGTAATTTATTACTTTCAAGCATAAGGCTTCTGTATCACACTGTTCATTCTTACATGAGCATTTTGGAGAGCTTTGCACACACACAGGGAAAATTTTAATGTACAAAATCCTGCTTTAAATCACTCCTGCCCACCTTCAGTGTAGTTAAACTTCAATAAAAATTTCATTTTGCAGAACTAACGATTGCCAACAGCCCCAGGCTAGTGAGCACCTTGCAAGGCAGGCAAAAAAGCACGAAGGTGGTGAACCCGATGGCGGCTGGAAAACACTCGGTTTTAATAAAAATAATCTGGGAGTCCACTTACTGCATATTTGCTCTCCTTGATACAAAAGAACTTCGTGGTCATAAAATGAGGTTGCTCGTGGAACTGTCGATCATTTGCTTTGACTTGCCACGTGCAATCTTTTGAAGAAGGAAGAGAAGAAAGTCGGTGAGTAGAATAATAAGTACATTGTTATGAGCTGAATTCTGTCCTTTCCAGTTGCATATGCTTAAGTCCCAACCCCTCAAACCTCAGGGTGTACCCTCGGAGACATGGTCACGGCAGATGCACTCAAGTTAAAGGGCGGGCGTCAGAGTGGATCCTAATCCATCCTGACTGATGTCCTACACAAACGGGGGATGCGGGCAGAGACAGGGGGATGACGATGTGAAGTCATGGGGAGTCATGCCCACCTACAGGCTAAGAAGAGTGCTGGGGCAAAGATCCTGCCCTCACAGCCCTGGGGAGGTGTCCGCCCAGACTTCCAGCCTCCAGATCTGATACCCTAAGCTTCCTTCTGCTAAGCCATCCAGTGTGTTATTTTGTTTCAGTGGTGCTAGCAAACTAATGAACATGCTGGGACTTGACCAGCTGTGCATAGAACATGAGAATTCTGGTAGAGTAATCCTCACCTAAGCAAATCCAAACAAAAACCCTCTGAAGGTCACAGCTGAATTAAGTCAAATGATCTTTTCAGTCTAACTGACAGTAAAATTTGTATCATAGGAAACATTTAGTGAATGACCGAAATCAAAGTAGCAGGGCCCCAGCGAATCCATGTAACATCACAGGTCATCCTGATGACTTCCTTACTCGTCCCCCTGTGCCCTGAGGACCAAGGTGTCTGACTTGAGTCCACTTCACGAACTTGACCTCACACCCACACACTCACTGTGTGGACTCAGCCCAGTCAGCTGCCAAGTGTAAGCCCCAGGGAACTTAGCAGGGTCCACAGCTTCCCTGCCGCTGGGGAACGATTCCTATGCAACAGGTGTCTCACAGAACATGTCTTCCCACCGCTTCCCACCCACCACTCTTCTCGTTTTCCTCGGGGTGGCTTTCTCCAGGCATCAGAAGATGTCACCTGCTGTAGCTGCCTCTCACCAGTGTCTTCCTGACGACAGCTCCCCACAGCCAACCACCTTGTCACTTCTGTGCTCATCACCCAAGTGACGGCTCTGGGTGCTGACTGCAACCTGGAGCTCTCCCGGCAGCCCCGTGCTGGCCCCTTGCTGCCTCTGTCACAAAGCCCAGCATGTCCTGGGGTACCTCCCCAGCTAGGACGGCCTGGGATCTGCTCAGGTCCTCCACTAGTGGCCTTTTGAGAAACGCGTATCTATCCCACAGCCGAAGCTATCTTCCTGTGTGTTCAGGGGGAGACAGAGCTATGGGCAGAACGTACGGCCAATGGCAAGTGTCAAGTGTAGCTGTTTGTCCTGGTCACGACCAGAGATCTTTACAAGCTTCCAGAGAGAGAGCCTGGTTAGCTCTGAGGCTGTTGTAGACCGGTGACAGCTGGCCATGGTGACCCAGCCAGGCCCGGAGGCTCCCCACTGAGTGCTTGTTCATCACGTCTGCTCTCTTGCTCATCTGGGGTTGCTCAGCCACTGGCGCCCACGTCACTGCAGCACGCTCTCCCCAGAAGTTGGCCCCCCGGAAGGTGCTGAACACATCACTTGCTCTGGCTGGGACAGTGGCCTGGTGTCCCCTAAGGTCAGTGATTAAAGGCCTGGTCTCCAGCATGACATTACTTGGAGGAGGTAGAACCTTTAGGAGGTGGAGCCTAGTGCAGGGGGAGGGTTGTTCCTTAGGTCACTGGAGGCGCTGCCATTGGACAGGCTTGTGGGACACCAGCCTAGCACTCTGATTTCCTGTTTGGTGACAGAACCTCTTCTCTCCACCCTCACCCCCCTTACACACACACACACACGCCCTCTTGCCATGACAGGTCACCATCTGCCACCTCACCACAAGCCAAATAACTCCGCCCCTCTCCACCCTCCCCACCTGCTCTTGGACTTGGAACCCTTCTCTCTTGCACGTTGGTGACCTCAGGTATTTCATCACAGTGACCATGTGCTGAGTGATACGGCACTGCACCGAGCTCCCAGATGCCCGTTTTCAAGGCAGCCTTGCCACTCGCTCTGCATCCAGGTCAGGCCCAGAGAGCGAGCAGCTGCAGCTCTCCTCTCCTTCCAAGACAGTGGTCTTGGCCTTGGCCGAGCCCCACTCCAGGACAGCTTCGATGATCTGTAGTCAACTGTGGTCTGTCCACCGCCCCACCCTCCATCTTACTTTCTCCTCTATGATTGTCCCTCTGGACAGGGGCTCTCCACGGGCCCCCACCCTCTACCCCCGTGGATGAGGCTGACCCTGACAGTGGGATCAAGTACACTAGCACTCTGAGATTTATCTAAACGAGTAGATTCTCCAGGGCAGACGGCCACCAGCTCTTCCCTGCCCCAGAGCTACTCCACATTCCCACCATGCCAGCCAATGCTCTGTACTGCTCTGCGTGGGGGCCACAGACCCCCAGGTCCTCTGCCCCTCCCCAGAGTGGCTCTTCAGGAAGACAGGGCGCGAGCGGGGCTTGCCCTCACATCCCTCCCAGGCTGTGTCAGTGTTCTGCATGCAGTGGCATCCCCCAAATGCCTTTGGAAAGAACAGGAAAAGTAAAATTCATAATAATTGGTCACGTGTGGTTTATCTCTGGTGCCATTTCTTCCTCCCTCAGTGGGTGACGTATGGGTGGCGGCCAGCTCCTCCTGGAAATGCAGGCCAATGGACCTTGCAGCACAGCAGTCACAGGGAGACGACTTCCCCTGCTCCGAGGTGCCCTCGCCTACCCACTCGTGACTGATGTGGCTCTACAGTTAACGTGTGTTCAGGGCTCTTTCCAAGAGCCACGCCTACTGGCCAGGCTGTCTTTGCATAGCTGAGTAAAGAGAGGCATGGAGAGGATTAGCAACTTGGCCAGTGTAGGAGAATCAGAATTCAGACCAGGCAACTGGAGCTCCAAGTCCAGCAGCCTCTCTGCCCACTCTGCCACACAGACAAGGCTCTCTTTGGAGAGAGCTCAGTGGCTAGCAAGCTGGCTATAAAAATAGGATCCATGTTGCCACTGTCGCCTCAGTGTTTGGCTGTACTTGGTCTCCTAAGAGGAAGGCACAAGTGAGCTTTCAGGTCAAGGATGCTACAAACTCAGAGGAAACCCCGAGCCAGCATCTCTTGACATTAAGTTCTCTGCCAACAAGGATGTTGGATGAACTCTCCTTGGGTGTTCACAGAGGGGTGAACCAGGTTCTCATGAATTCCACTTCCCAAACTGGCAGGGATAGGAAATTAACAACTAGGGTGGGACCACCACATTGGAGAAGGGAATGTATGAAAAAACATTTACAAATAAAGAGTTCTAAAATGGCCCATCTCTGATCAGTATAAAGATCAAGAGTGCATACAGTTGGAAACTTTTTTCTAAGTGACTCATTTTCTAGTCTCCTACTTCCTAGGGAATGTCACGAGAACAAGTACAGACCACTGAAGAAGGCAAACGAAAAGCATGATTATTTTTCAAAATTCATTCATTCAAGTATAGAAAGAGAGAGAGAGGGAGGGAGGGAGGGAGGGAGGGAATGAATGAATAGGAATGTCCATCCACTGGTTCACTCTACAAATACACACAATAGCCAGGGCTGGGCCAGGCCAAAGCCAGGAAGCAGAAACTCAGTCCCACATTTGTGGCAGGAACCCAGGTACTTGAGCCCTCCTCTACTGCCTCCTGGGGAATGCATTAGCGAGAAGCTGGAATGAGGAGTGTAGCTTGGACTTGAGCCCAGGCACACTGACATGGGATGCAGGTGTCCAGGCAGCGTCTTAGCCACTGTGCTAAATGCCCACCCCTGGACGATCACCGTTTGGAAACCATAATACCAGTACCAAACGTTTTTCCTGGATCACTTGGCTACCATTCATCTGGCAATCATAACTGCTAAATTATTCCAAGTGGAAATGTCCCTAGCACCTTTCTAGCTCAAGTACAATTTTACCAGAAAAGAAAAATGAAAATGGAACAATAAACCACTCACAGACACCGTGACGATCACACAATCGGGAAATTTCTCTCCCATTCAGAAGGGACATTAAAGGAAGGTTGGTACAAATGGCATCTTATATGGTCTTCTGCAACCCATTCTGCTTTCTGGTCATTTGCAAATGCGGGTGCGTCTATTGGTTTTCCTTGAGCCTGCAGATGACTCGCAGCCTCCAGTGTTTTAGGAACCACTGAGAATGAGAGCCTCCCTTTCAGGAAGGCTGATGAGAAAAGCAGATGAGATTCCAGGAAGAGAGAAAGAGCCACTGCCAAGGGATAAAAATCCACCTTAGAAACGCTGGAGAGGAGGGAGTAAGTCAGCCTATTAGTGAGCTAAAGATAGCACACTTTTCCAGCCTGCCTCGGGTCCTTACCCTCTGGCTTTTAAAATTTGCTTCTTAGTTAAGCCCCAGCCAGCGGCAGCTCGGTCTGGTCCTACACTGCACCCTCATCTCCAGCCTCCCCCGCCAACCCTTTTAAGGGTTTACTTATTTTTGAGTTACACAGAGAGAGGGAGGCCTTCCATCTGCTGGTTCATTCCCCAGATGGCTGCAACAGCCTGGGCTGGACCAGGCCAAAGCCCAGAGCCAGGAGCGTCAACCTGAACTCCCACATGAGTGGCAGGTATCCAACCACTTGGGCCATTTTCTACTGCTTTTTCCAGGCCATTAGCAGGGAACTAGATTGGAAGTGGAGCAGCTGTGATTCAAACCAATCCCCACATAGGATGCTGGTGTCACAGGTGGTAACTTTACCTGCTATGCCACAGGGCCAGCCCCTCCAGCCCACTCTTATCTCAATGTCTCAAAGCGTAGCACGTGACCTCCAACGGGTTCTCAGAAATGACCTCTCTTAGTTTTACACTTTTGATAACACCTTGAGTAGCTGAGAAAAACAACCATGTGTCTTCCTGTGCGATTTAACCCCAGAGGCGTTTCTACTTGATTTCAGAAAGCAGATTGCAATCAAGTCATCAATAACCCTATTTCCAGCCTGGGCCCCTCGTGTGGCCCAAGTCAGATAAATCAGCAGCCAAGATGTTGGCATTTT